TAGACCACAGCCCTTCTTACACTAATGCAGATGTCCCCTGATACTGCCCATTCAGGCAGGACTCCTTGTTTGTGGCACAGCAGATCCTCACCAACAGAACAGATTGAATAGACGATTTTCTGTCTGGTCATAAAACACATCTTGTGTGACAGGGAGAGTTCATGTGCAGTTACTCATCAAAAAGTCTGGCTGAGGTGCACAGCAATAAAATGTGGTTTTAAAATAGCCATATGCAAAGCTACAAGTAAGGAAAGACAGCCACACCACATTCCTGCTGTATTCTTATTGCAGGGATGCTATTTGCCCTAAACTGCCACAGCTCATAGAGAAACAAGGCCCATCCAAGTGCTGACTGTCTCTTTTTTGCTCTACCACTGTGCAGGAGATGCTGAGAAGGACTCACCCCCACTGAGTGTTGCACATCCATGTCTGGCACTGGCTTTGAGAAAAACAAAGCTACACAGTAGAAGATGCAGCTGTTACCCCCAAGGTTCAGCAATCAACCCATTTCTCGCTCTTTGAACAGAAGACAAAATCATTAAGACAGGTTCTGGATCAGGTCTCTGCAGCCAACACACCCTACTACAGCCCCAGATGGGCTGGGCTGGGCCACAGCACCAGATACCTACCGGCAGGAAACCTACACATCCCAAAGCTGCACCTCCTCCAGACACCTCAGGTGGTGTAAGAAAACCTGAGCCAGCTCTCAGCTGTGTTTGTACAGGCTGGGGGGCAATTGCTCATGGCTTTTCCTTATGGCCACAAAGATTCTTGGTTTGGAAAGCTGGCTGCTACAGTCCCTCACAATAAATGCTCAGCTATCCCAGCATGGCATTCCATGGAACCATCATCCAGCTTTTTGGGTTTTACACTGGCAGAAGATACTCAGCGTGTCTATCTCCTTCAGAGAGCCAAGCATTGCTCTCTGCCTGCCCAGGAAATGATAAGCTGAGACAGAAGGAACAATGAGATGGATAAAAAGGAAACAATGACTGCCAGAAATAGAGGTGTTTCTTTTCCAGAGATTTTCCATCCTAACAAGGCCTCTAACAAGGTTCAGCATTCTAAGAGTGGCACATATACACCTGTGTGCTAGGGGAAAGAGCTGTTTCACACAGCTGGGGAAAATCTTGGCAGCACCTGCAGCACCTCTCTTTGCAGAGATTTATTTCATGTGGGTTCAATTCCTTATCCTTAAGTCTCATCTTATGGAGAAGGTGTAGGAAGAATTCCAACTAATTTCATTAATTCCATATTGGAGGCTGGGGAAAAAAAAAACACCTCAAACAAAATTCAAAACCTCTTGAATTTGAAAAAAAAAAATTAATTTTTTTTTCTTTTTCTAGGTTAAGGCTAGAATGTTGGGTTGTGACTGGGGCCATTATTTGAATTTGAGAAATCACCCTTCAAAAATACCTGTTTAGTCAAGTGCTGAGAACAGGAAAAACAGAGCTGGTTAAATGCAATCTGGAGTCAAAGTGATGTCCAAGGGAATTGCTCACCTCTGGAATAAGCATAGTGACAGCAAAGTACTTGTGCATAAGACCAATTAAGTTCGGGTTGATTTTCATAAATGGGAATTTTAGGAGGATTTCTTCTGCAGACAGCAGCATCACTCTCAATCCGGGGTATTGTCCGGTGTGGGCTCTTTCCAAGCTGGTCCAGGAGAAGCAGATCCTTCATAACCTGTCAGAAATCCTGGCCCCACTGAAGCCAGCCAAACACACATGGATTTAATCAGGATGAGGATTTTATGTCACCTACTTGAATGTGAAAAAAAGAGAAAGGACTCCACTCTGCTCTCCCACTCTCTCCCTGGGTCAGTCAGACCTGCCCTATTTGTTGTTGCAACCCCTAGTTTTGGAAGGAACAGTCATACAAGTGCACACACACCCTTTCTCCAGGCCACAGTGTATTTTCCAGCTTAGCAGGTTATCCCCAGACGTGTGAAGATTTCAGAAGCAAAGCCCAATCCCAGCAGTGAGAATGCTGTGGATGCATCTCCTGCAACAGCTGCTGGGGGACAGGAAGGGACAGGGACACCACGACCCCTCCACGTGCCAAGAGCCCTCACACGCCAATAGCCTGACCTGGAAAAAATTGCTGTCCTTGTTAAAAATCACCTTACAACATGACATTGCTTCTCCTTTCTAACAAGAAGGTCTACACAGGTGTTTTAAATGCTAATTTTGGTGCTTTCTGAAATACCCAGTGACCTGCGGTCGTCTCCCATCGCTTACATTTACAGTTTTTGTCCTGACAGCCTGGGTAGGCAGCTCAGAGTAAAACCCCTTCCAGCTCTTCAGATGATTTTCACTACCTCTCACTCGGGCTATTAAGATTCTCAATGCGTGTATCTGGTTTCCAATAGTACAAGCTGCTTCGGAAAGGTTAGACTTTGTTTTAAATAGCTCAGCCATCTGTCCTGCGGTGGCTGATGGGAGCTGCAGGGACCGAAGCAGCCAAAACAGAATTTTTTAAACTGTCAGTTTTTCATTACAAACATTTCAGCTCGAATCAGCCCCGTGTCCTTAAAAAAAAATAAAATAAAAAAAAGTTAGGTCTATATTTTTTCCTTGAGTATTATACAAACACTGCGAGTCGTGCTTTAACAGCTTCCTTGCGTTGCTGGAATTTCATCAATGCAAATATCTGGCCTGAACTTCACCAGCGCGAGGCACTTTGCAAAGCACAGAATCAGCCACATTTGTGTGTTTCTCGGCTTTGAACTAAGAAATGCTCATTTATTACAGGTAGCCACGACACACAGAACCAACACACAGCAGTAAGGAAAACACTTCATGTATGGAAATCAGGTACATGGACCTGCATTTTTCTCAGCCAGTTCCTAAATGTCAAAGCTCTGAGTTCACCTATTCTGCAAAGTTAAATCAATTTATTCACCTAATTCACAGGACTCACTTTCTTAATTTGACATTATTTTTGAGGGAAATGGGTTTAGAGTGCACAGGCCAGCTATGTGCAGCAGCTGTTACAGCAGAATTGCTAATTCACACATCGGTGGGAAAACAAAAATACACGAGAAGAAATTTGTATTTCCTTAGGCAAATGCTGCTCCACATCAAACAACCAAGAATGGCCATCATCTACCCCTCAAGGAAAATGCCAATGATCTCCCTAGTACTACCCTGGAAAGGCCCATGTAACAAACTATCACCCAGGAGTATCCAAGGAGACAAGACAGACAACAAATATATATTAATCAGAACAACATACCAAAGTTTATTGATTACTTCAAACAAAAGTTTCTGTAATGAAAAAAGAGCAAGTTGCATTCATAAAAGGTAACATTCACATTCAATTTCCTTTATATAAAGCAACATAAATGTATAAAATTGCATTTAAGTGAAAAAAATGTAAGGTTGCAGTCCTTTTTTTTGCAAGAAGCTGAAAATGTATCTGCTCATTGCCTGTATATAATTTACATTTTCTATATACTACATGTTTTTTTAAAAAATTCGTAGCTGGGAAATTGGATAAATGCTGCAGTATTAGGTAAGTTTTTCAACTGTGTGTATACAAATTCAATTTGAAGCTTTTATGCAATTCCAAGTAATTTATAATATTCTCATAACGATTAGGATTAGTGTTTGAGAAGTCGCTATGACTACACCAAGCTCCACTGTTATCATGTAACAGTTTTAGAGGGAATCTTAATTACTTTCCTTATCTTTCAATGTCACTAGTCAGTGATTAAACTTCAACGAATTATTATGAGAAAAACCCAGCCTTTTTTTCCTTCAAGATTTTCCACTGATAAGCCTGTACTGACCATTTAGCTCACTGAGGAGCACCGTAACAGTGCAGTGGGTATCGTGAAACACGAACAACCACCACAGCACTGCTCTTGGATTATCACCACTTCAGCATCCTGCTGCCTTACACCTTACAGTCACTATCACTACTTTTTCTTCCCCTCTCTAACCTCAAAAGGAGTCTCCTGTTTCCCCTGATTTCACAAGCCACCCACAGCAACAGGAATTTCATTTTTGCCATTACTGAATGATGAGGATCAGCTCTTCTGCAGGTGCAGGGCAACCTGGTGGTCCTGGCACCCAGCACTACACCAGTGCACTAGCTGAAGATCCAAGCCCAAGAAAACTTGCATTTTCCTAAAAGAGCTGCTGTTCAAGACATTTCACATTAAATCCACCCCACTAGTCAGCACACACACCTTGGGTTTGAACATACAGCTACTGCAATCCAGTGGGGACCAGACACTTGGAAACAGGAAGAGATTTGCTTCTCAGAAGGTTCTGTCTTTAAACAGGCTGCAGAAATTAGCCTGTTTAAGTGACTATTTGGACAGTTCACACACACATGGCAAGTTTCACTCTTCCCATTAACATCGCCAGCAGAACCTCCAGTAGAATTCCAGGGGAACAGACTTTGAACCTCAAGAGTAGAGCGTGACACAAAACAGAGAAGCAAGGTGTGAGGCTTGGGACCATTCAGGCTTGGAATGGTTTTGAATCACAGGAATTAGGCATTTTAGTGCCCACATTTTAAAGGTTATGTAAACACAAGTCAGCAACTGTATATTTAAGGAGAAAGGTTAGATTTGGCATATAGAGCGTATCTTCATTGTATTCATCGTATACTTGATCTGTAGGCACCACATTTTAGCAAGAAAAGTTGAGAACGGGACAAGGTCTGCAAGTTGAATTCTAAGTCCGTGAAATGAGCTAGGAAAAGGGAAAAAAAAAGAAGAAGAAAACAAAAGCTTTGCCCATGGACACATGCTGGCAGTGCAGCTCCTTACTTGCATGCAGCAAGGAGTTGAGCCGCAGTCGCTGACACGGGGCAGACACCACTTGCGTTGAGGCCAGTGCAGCGTGTATAATACAGTGGTCCTGTCCATCCTTCCCCTTCCATGCTGGGTGATGTCAAAGCAGCCACCGGCCACACGGACTGTGCACACCCCTCTCCCACTCAGGTAAGGCCCATCCAAAGTCCTTGTGACGCGCAGGAGAATTTGCCAGCTGATCTGCACCAGTTGAAGACAGACCACAGGGGTGGCAGCCAGAGAGCGAGACTCGATTCTTCCAAAAAATCAGTAGTCTGCAGTTTAACAAAATTTGGTGAGGGGAACATTCCATCTAGTCCCAAACTGTTTAATTGTATGTAAATGACACGAAGCCTGAGCGAGCGGGAGCCAAACCCAGCAGCAGCGTAGAGCTTGTTGCTTCTGAAATGAGACTTGAAGCTTCTCACAGTAGTTCCTCTGCCCCACTCCGAAGAGCGCCGGGGCCGGGGGAAATCGGCACGAGGGAGGGACCGTCACACCAACCCGCGGTGGCACACAGGGTGCTCTGTCACTGCTTATGACTTAACACAACAAAAAAAGCTGCTCTTGCCACATAGGAAGTATCAGAGGAAAAAAAAAAATAAAAATATTGAGAGTCAGGCATCTCACCTCTGCTGTGCATGACCTAAAGAGAAAAATTCCTACGACCATGGTACAGGTAGATTTCAAAAGAACATGCCAATTTAAAAACCAAATAAAATGTAAAATGAAATCGGGTTCATGTATTCCTTTTATTTTTAAACTGGCTTCTTTTTTCTTAGTGCAAATAACTCAAGATGTAGTTTTATACACCTGTAGGTTCACAGGCACATCTCATGTCCCTGGGATCAGCCAAGGACTGCACTGTCACTTGGGCCTTTAAAGTGTTGGAGCGACTGCACAGTGCAGTAATGTAAGCACAGCCACAGGAGCCTGGGCAGAGAGGCTCAGAGTCTGCCACAGTCCAACTTTTGGGATTCCTTCCTCCCCCACAAAAGCTTCCTTCCATCATGAACAGCCACAGAACAACCTCTTCTTCACCCTCCAGCAGGAATAAATCCATCAGCAAACCGGTCGTGGGAGGATGCTCAGGTGCTTCCCAGCACTGCAGGTCTCCACACGGACACCATCGCTGTGGGCAGCCCACAGACTGCTTCCAGCCATACCTGGAGGAGGGATCAGCAAAGATTTCTCCCGAATTTTCAAGTAATTCTGCCACGTGCATCTGGCACCCACGGCTGGGAGGGGGCAGCCCCTGCCGAGGGATCGCAGCCCCAGCACCAGGAGAGATGCTCTCAGGGCTGCATCCAGATTCCATGGGAGAGGAGCAGGCTTTCCTCAGTGCCTTCAGGGAGTCAGATGGGGCTGTTACTGGGTTTAAGTCTGTGCTACTTCTTTGGTCAGGAGAGCAAGAGACTTGAGCAGCTCTCTGCTGCTCTCAGATCTGCAGTGGGCAGAGGAAGCCCCCGTGTGAAATGGGGCTGGCACTGCACTCTTGCACTTTGATTCATGCCATTTTGGATGAATTTCTAAAGATGCTTTCTCAGCCTCCAATGACGTAGAATTTGGCAGAATTGTTGTTCTGGGAGGGTGGGGAAACCACAAGACCAAAGACAAACAGGTACCGTGGGGCCAGTGCCCTGGCTGCTGCTCTTTCAGCATGGCTGCTTACAGTCCTTGGTAATATCAAAAAGAACTGTTAGGTTAAAACCATGGGTTTTGTCCTACAGCATGACAATACGCAGTGTTTATGGAGCACTTTAAAGTATCCTGAGAGGATATCTTTCTGCCAAATTAGTAACAGCATCTTCAGTCTTCACATAACCATTCTCTATACGTTTGTATGAGACTAACACAGGCAGATCAAAGGGGCCAGCCTGCAAAAATCAGAAGGAAAACACATATATATTACAACTGTTACATTTCCAAACTCACAAACCTTTTCCTGGGTTATTTTTAGAAGAAAATACTTAAAATTTTATAGGAGAAGAAGAATGATTAGGCCATGACAAAAGTGCCCAATGCAATTCACAACCAAGTAATCAGACGATAAATAGATCTGCACAACCTGCAAAATGCTGCGTGAAGTCTAAAAGTGGCATCTGCCTCACTGCCCCCTGTGCCTCCCATTCTGTCCCCGTCCAGCTGCCTCCCACACCAGTCTGCACCAGTGTATGGTGGTGGAGAGCACCACCTAACGTCAGTGGAGAAGGATCAGCTGTGCAGGACAAATACCACATGCACTGGAGGCCCTGCAAGCCTGGCTGCTAGAGCTGCCATGCCAATCAAACTCATTTCTTTAGCAGCAGCTGTGGGTACAAAGGTAGGAGAGGCTTGCAGAACACCTGCAGCCTTCTGTTTGCAGGCGACACCACACGTTACATCCCCCCTAAAAGCAAAGTTGTGAATTCAATTGGGCACTCTTTTATTCTGCTATTGGTTTGCTACAAAGTTTAAAATCAAGTCAACTTGTAGTAGGATGCTCTCAGTGTGCGTATGTACATACAGACACCGAGACATGCCTCCGTCTGTGTGTTGACACACATAAACAAGTACACATATTTAGTGTCAATCTATGAAGATGAATTAAAATGTACTTATTTCTATCTGACAGAACAGCATGCACCCTAGAGAAAGGGATTTTGGTACGATTCAGATGCAATACTGGAATCAGTTTAACAACTGAGATTTGAATCTTTCAGCGTAAATTTATCAGTGTTAGCTTTCATAACCACTGTTAGCACAATCCAGATGGCATTCTCAGATTAAATTTTCTTTTAACATTAGACTAAAATATCAGTTAGATTGAAAGATTTGTTTGCATACTGCAAATATTTCAGTTTGAGAGTATCTGTACAGATACAGTATTCTGAGAGGTTGGATAGTACAACATCCCCAAATCAAAATGCATCCCAAGCATTGCATCTCCATTCCACAAGGACAAGTACCCCACACCGATAGTCAAGAGGATTACAAGAACCACGGTTTAATTGATTTGGAGGAGGTTACATTTGGTTAATTGATGCCTTTTAAAACCATCCCAACTCCTTCAGACAGGGTACCTTTACAACACATTAGACTCATCTGAGAACGTTCTTAAAAGAAGTGGTCTGACAGAAGGTCTGGCCGACAGTGAATCAGGTGCCTTCCTGCTGCTCTGCAACAGCGAGGCAAGGAGACTTATAGCACATGCAACTCTTGCCCCTGCCTATCGTCAAACAATGCAAGACACACACAACCCTTTTTACAGCTAAGTCATATCATAAAGAATGATTAACAGTGGCTGGGTTTTGCAGTGCAAGAGGCACAGAGAGTATTCAGAAACCGGCCCTGCTTCCCAAAGTGTTTAACTTCAGGTTTGGAGGTTTATGTTTTTGAGGGAGGAGGAAAACATCCCTGATCTCCACATAAAATAGTATTTTTAAAATAGGCAGTAATAGAGGAGATCTGCAGTGAAACTAAATGCTAGGGACATGTAATCAAGGCACTTTGCTGTGGGTGGCCCCACCACTCCCTTCATCAGCAAATCCAAGACTATCCTTCTTTGTGAGAGTAGCACTAGCAAGTGGATGGACTGGGCAAGGTGGGTACTAGGGAAGCTCCCCCCCTCAGTCAGACAAGTCTGAGTCATCTGTCAAGTCATCCAGAGGACAAACATCAATTCCACCTTGTCCCACTCGTATCTAATCCACTAACACACAAAACTGCAGTGAGAAAAGAATGTAAACCAGCTTTGCCTGTGTCCACCTCACTTGGACATCCTGAGCACAACCAGCTCACCCACCTGATGTGCAGCAAGAGACCGAAGGGGAAGAGACAGACGAAATATTTAAGCAAAAGATTTAAATTAAGGCAACATCTAGGGAAAAGCAAGGTTTTGCTGTGTGAGCAAATCTCAATGTGTGTTTTCAGGAGTTAGGCATTAGAAGGAGGAGAAGGGCAGCTGAGCAAGCAACACATAAGCGACTCAGAAAGGAAATCACCTTATTCACTCCAAGAAAAGCTGTGATTGCTGGAAGTTTGAGAAAGCATGAAGATAGTGGATGTTCCTGAGGAAGGAAGGCGCTTCGTTACCTAGTTCACAACAGCACAAAAGACAGAAAATTGCAGTACAAGAAGGAGAAAGGTAGAAACCAAGGAAAACACAAATGCGCCTTGCAGTTAAAAAAACCAAGCAAAACCAAAACAAAATAAAAACAACCACCGCATTTCCACACAGAAAATTTAATAGAGGTTGAGCAGAGCTGATGCACAGTGTTACAGGAAACTCAGGGTGAAATCCTGTCCCACTGAGGTCAATAGCAAGTGTCCATGGACCTGGACTTGGCTTTGGCTGCCAAGTTTGGGTTCAGGTACCTAAACAACGTCCCCAGTCTTGTTTTTCATTTAATGCTCCCCTGGGGACACTGATGTTTATTTTATTTTACTTCAATATTAAGGTCAGGATTCTCAATAAGGCCTTAATTCAAAATCATCTACCTGATCTTAGATGCCTTTACTAATCAGGCAACTGACTTTGATGTCTGATTGATGACGCAGATATCCAGAGCTGGTATCTGCTTCAGGGACTTATAATAACACTCTTACTCAAAATGTACATTTAAATATGGTTCAGCCTGTGTTTAGTTTGGGATGCACATCTGAAGAAACTTTTCTAGCTGACACTTACTTTGCTTTGCTAAATGATTTCACAAGAGTCTTTGTTAAATGCATATAAAGCACTCTTGAAAGCAAGTATTGCAAGAGGAGATGGGTCTTTGGTCAACAGCTGAAGGTAAAAATGGGTCACCTCTCAGGTGACTTGACCTGGAGCTTAGAAACCCCCAGGTCACCCTTCCAGGGCACTGTCCTCAAACTGTCATATGTCCACAGCTGAGAGCAACTTGCTCCCAGCTGGTTCAATAGGGGTGTCAAGCTAGAAACTATTAAATCATGTTTAAGTGGAAAAAGTTACATAGACCCTTACAAAATACAACCATAGTTCTTTTACCATCTCTATTGTTTTCAACTATAATAATGCTCCAATCCTGGAAGTGTTCAAGGCCAGGTTGGATGGGGGCCTGAGTAACCTGACCTAGTGAATGGCATCCCTGGCCTCAGCAGAGGGGTTGGTATTAGGTGATCTCTAAGGTCCCTTCCAACTCAAATCATTCTGTGATGCTATTAATGACTTGGGGGTGGGGGATTATCCTGCTGGCTGTTGGTGGGGGCTGACCCTGCACTGTGCCCCTTCAGCTGTGCCCTACTGCTGCCTAGGGACGTGCAAACCCAACGGCAAGAGGTCTGGGCTGGCTGCAACACACCATGTGCTGACCCGAGGCAGGACTTGCTGATGCTGCAGGGGGAAGAGAGGGGCTGCAGGAGAGGGAGGCACAGAGAGGGGGGAGGCACGGCCAGGGTGAGCAGGGGCTGCCCAGGAGATGGTGCTGCAGGGACACTCAGCACCTCTGGGCAAGCAGAGAGCAACGGGCAGGGGAGATCAGCACGGTGAGTCATGAACCTGGCATTGCTGGCCTTCACCATTTGCAGGAGCAATGAAGAAAACTTTTAGGAGAAGGTTTCCACTTCTAAAAGGAGCCCTCCTCCTCAGCAGTGGAGGAAAGCTGTTATGAGACTAGATCACTTTCAAGGAGAGCAAACACCATGGTACAAGCCTTCAGTTATTTACGGAGGGTGGGCAAATGTGACAAGACCTGACCCTTCTCCCACTGCACCAGCACCTGAGGACATACCCAAGGAGAACATCCTGGCTGTGTTTTTTGATATAAAAACAGGTAGGGTTTTTTTCAGGTGGGTTTGATGATCAGTTCAGGTTGGACAAGGGTTACTGTACTTCTATAAGAGACAGCACGATTCCACCCAGCAAAGGCAACTAAGGAAAGGCACAGGTTGAGTCTCTCTTCATTACAGATCTAGGCAGTATTTTTAGATTAACGTCTTGCCATTTCTGGCATGTGAAAAAGCAAGACAAGACTCCAGAAAGCCTTCCTTGAGATGTGAGTGGTATGTGGTACTGTTACAGGTTGATCTGGTGCTTAAGAAAGGTCTTCCTAAAAATACAGTGGAATACATCATCTTGTTCCTTACCTGATGATTTTTCTCTTTTATATTTTTTAAAACTATTAGAAGAATTTCTGGGAAAAGGCTGATAAAGATCAGGAGAATTATTGCCAGCCATGTGGAAACAGAAGTCAGCATATGAGCAAATACAAAATACATTCTTTGCTGCTTCAAGAAAGGCCTGAAAAAGAAAGGACACAAATTCTGGTTAACACAGATTTTCCAAGAAGGTCAGAATCAAAGGAAACTTCACATCAAACTATCAGCAGTTACGCCTCCCTTTCAGATGGATATGGACACAGCCCCCACAAAAACACACTGTCCATCCTTGTCCCAATCTATCTCCTGCCTTCAACTGCGCTAATTCTAGAGGATTGTCATGATTCATTTTGCATCTTCTGCATCTGTGAGGAGGGGTTTGAATTTTGCCACTATCACTGAAAGATAAATTATTCACCTTATCAAAACCCAGATCATTTTATTTCAATTTCAGGCTTTGCTATAGCTTCTGGTTTGGTTTTGATGGTGGAAATCCAGTGTCTCTCAATCACAGCAGGTTATTTGCACCTTCCTCCCTTCCTTGATGAGGGAGAGCAACTGACAGATGCTTGTGAAAAACACCTCATAAATAAACGATGACAAGGATCCCAAAGAAGTTGTTGCTTACTGTTAAGTCAAAAATATTGAGCTATGCAAGTTAAACAGTAGAAAGAGTTTTTAGTAGAAAACTCACACATTTCACTACAGATAGGTGGCTAGATCGCAGATCTGGATCTGTTGGTTAGCAACACTGAAGAGTCAAACAAAGCTTTTAATTCCCAATTAAAATACTTAAATCAGTTCCACATCTTCATTAACAGGTTGCTGGATCAAGTATCTAGCCAATAGCCCATGGCACAAGCCCATGGGAAAGCAAAGGTGTAAAATGGGGGACACTGTCTACTGTGAATGTCAACTGAACATTTACTCCAGCACATGAAATAGAAAACTAGTAATGTTTGTAATGGACTATTGTTTGCCTGCTTTTGCAACATATTAAGCCTAAAATCCTGGTTGCACTCAAATCAATGAGAATTTCTTCTCCTATTCAGATCCAGGATTTCAGCAGCAGGATCTGTGATTTCTCCTGTTTATTTCTCCTTCTTAAGCTGTCCCAGAGGGCCAGGTCCTCTTGCTCCACATCTGCCTCATCTGTTCCTTCCTTCCATTTCACCGGATTTCTTTGCACCATGAATTTTTCCTGTCTTTCTCATCCACGTGCACAAACAGATCCTAAAATGCTTACTCTAGAACCTCCCAATGAAGACAAGAGCCTTAGCAACAGAAATGACCCTGAGCAGAAAAGCAAATCACCTTCTGCCAAAGTTGAGCACCTGGATGGCGACCACGGCCTTATCTCTTTCAGGCTATTCCCTTTGGTGGGCTGAGATATCTCCTCAAACACATTTCATGATGCAAGAGCCCTCTTCCAGCACTGGCCTTTAGAGGGTGTTGGATGGAGGTATCCACCCTTCCTTCCTCAGGAGGGAAAGGAGCATGATTGCACACACCTTGCCATCTGTAAACCTCTGGACATCCCAACGGAGGGGATGCTGCAGCCAAGTCCCCTGCAAAGCCAGCACTGGGCATTTCCCTAGGAAAGCACCATGGAAAGAAGATATACTTGCCAAATGACTCCTCCCCAAAAGAATGAGAAAAACACGTAGAAGGCAAGGGATCCCCAAATCACAAAGTGGTTCATCCACGTCCAGAATCGGGTATCTAACGCTAGCTGTGTGAATAAAAAAAGAGATGGAACAGGTTTTAGATGCAGAGTGTATCTGATTGGATTTATATGACATTTCAGACTGGTTTCACATTAAGGTTGAAGGTTCTCCAAACAGCTACCTCTGTGCATATGGACACCAGGCAAAACATTTTCAATATCCACAGGCTGGCACAGAGACAACAGGGAAACAGCAAGGTTCTAATTGTAACTGACACTTTTTAATAGAATAAATTTGATGCAACCTCTGATGCTACAGGAAATAAATGTCTAAAGGTTACAGGGATTGTAATTGCCTCTTGTCACCACCTGCTGTCTGAATCAAACATAAAAGACCTTTTGTAAGGTCTTATGCAAACAGTTTGTTCTGGAAAGCTCCATGAGACAAAGCAGATTTGCTATTGCTATTCGACATGGGCTTTTCTGATTACTGCAGCACTCAGCCTTGTCTGAAACAAGGTGGACAAGTTCAAATTCTCTATTGCTCCTCTTCTCTTGCCAGAACTGAACACCAAGGGGTGAAAGTGTGGGGAAAAGTCAACTATAACCAACTGGAGTTCTCAAAAGAGGGAAAAAGTAGAAAAATAATTTAACCAAAACATAAACACTTGAAGACCACAGACCACACAAAGGACAATAAGCAAGTTCTGCCTCTATGGAAGAAGAGAAGATTTAAGTGTGGGGGGAAAACACATTCAAAGAAACTTAATTTTCAACACATTCACTTCACATACACAAGCCTTGGAAAACATCTGCAATGAGTGACTGGAAAAGGAAGGAAGATCCTCACCTTCAGAGTGACAGTGAACACCAGCACGGTGAAAACAATCGTCCCAAAGGTCCAGTTCCCAAAAATCTGAAAAACACGTTACATTGCCACAGGTGTCTCGGTCCATCTCCTTGGAGAGGCACAGAGACGACGATGAGGACGGGGTGCAAGCAGGGACCAGAGGGGAAGGGTGGGATGGAACGACTGCTACGGGGAACTGATGCTCGGAAGACTCGCCGGCCACTACGCTACCCTGTGCCATGCAGTGCCACACAGATGGGTGACCCAGAGCTGGGACAGTGACAGGAACAACCTCCTACTAACAGCAATGTCAGTCGAGGATACAAGTCATTGGACCACCTGCTTTCTTGGCAATTTACTCAGTCTCTGCTTTCTTGCAACAACCATCATCTCTTTGTAGTCCCATTTGCAGAATGCACCAATGGGTGTTTTTCCACCTGGTTTGGTTCAAAGATACTAGTGACTATGCACACAAAGAAAAGCAGATACTGTACAGAAATCCAAATGATGGCAATGAATGGGAGGGATGCTTACCAAAGGCTGTCAAGATCTGAATGCATACGTTAAAACAGAAAGTGAAATGTAAAAGTTTTCAAAAAATGCAAAAAACCCAAAGTCAATAGGAGCGAAAAAGGAATCGAACATACATGGATATTATGAACAATTGCTGGTAGCAGTTCTTACAGGCATAAGTGTTTACAGAACAGGACATAACCACAGATCTTATTTTAGTGCCACATAGACTTGACCTCTGAAGGCAGTTGCAGAACATATCACTGCTTCATGTTTTATTCAAATACAACCAGAATGGCTATAAATACAGAAAAGCACTGATTTGACAATACAGGGGCTTGATTACATATAGTTGGGGCCATAAATGTTGGCATTGATGCAATGTATGAACACACATACATAAATTTCATCAGCTTTTCTCCAAGTGTTAGCCACTAAAAAATGTTAGGTATTTTCAAGGGTAAAATACCCTTGGTGTAAAGAAGTTTTCCATCAAATGAGATCTGATAATATGATGCACACTCCCTTGGGGAAAAGGTCCTGAGACAGCTCAGGTCACCACAAGTGGGAGCCTCCCTGCACTAATGCTTTGCTCTGTATTCAATTAACCAGCAAAAGAAAAAGAAATAAGAAAAAAATAAAAAAACCCCTCAATCTTTTTTTCCTCCTCCTTCTGTGCAAGTTAACCCAGAGCAGCTCCCACACCTTGTTCACACAGCGATGCAAGCGCTTGTCCCGACACCAGAGGCACGAGCAAGCAGGGACAACAGGACAACAGTCTGCTCATTCTGCAGCAGTGATGACTTCTGCTGGCTCCAAAACAGCAGCAATAGCCCAGCACCAGCCTTCCCCCATGGCAAACAGAAATGGGAGGCTGAAATCACGCCCCAGAGCAGGCACAGTGCACAAGCAGCCCTACACCATGTCTGTGCTAACAAGCAGCATCTCATCAAGGTGGGCTAATTCAGCTGCCTGTAACCAGCCAAGTACGTGCTGAATTTCAGACAGTCACTGGTGAGAAGGACAGACACTGCTCCTGCCCTGGCTCAGCTCCTGGGATCAGACAGGAGAGGGGATGAGCACAGTGTAAAGCTCGCTGGGTAGGCAGAAAGCTGTGTGTAAGACTAGTCATTTTACCTAGTGAGTATAACCAGCTCTGCCCTGTTTCCATGGCGATTTGGAAAACGTTTTATTTCAAGCATTTGCTGCAGAATCACACCATAAGCAAGGCTACACTGTTGGACAAGACTCGAGACACTGCACAGATTAAGCGCGCAGATATTCCCTGCCAGGCGTATCAAAGAGGCAGAGCACAAAAGAAACACTCATCTTCCTTTTTTTTTTGGTGGCGTTACCTTTCCGTTATCTTCCAACGATGAATTCTGAAACAGAAAATAAACCCCAAAGAAAAACACGAGTCCTTCAAAAGCGCCCAGAAAGGTCCAGTACAGGAACGGCCTCCACTGCAGCATTGCATTATCTGAAACCTTCCTGCCAAGAGATGGAGCAAGAAGACCATCACCATCACATTTAGGAAGCACGGCAAAGCTCCCTGCAGGCAGGTGATCAGTGAGCTTTGGAGCAAACCCTTGCTGTATGAGGCAAGGAAGTACCCACATAAACACCAGCCAGTGTACAGGACATAAAGAACATTTGCTATATGCAGCTGCTGATCATGAGAAATCACAAGAAGTTCAGCACATGAATTGTTTTGTCTTTCTCCTCTAGGTAGTTTGGATGAAAAGCCAAGTCAGCCCAAAGCCAACAGATGTAACACTGTCCTGAGCCTCTCCTGCAGTCCCCACATCATCCATGGTATCTGATATTAAATGATAAATTTTTAAATCAGGGTAAGGCTAAAGAGCACCCATATGGGACACATCAAATCTGTGATGTGTTTTCCTCTTTTTCTAGATGAATGAGCTCTCCTTTTTTGAGAAAAGCTCTGCAAGTCCTGTTCCTAAAATGGTGTTTTTCTGCACAGACTGAAAATAACCTCCTGAATTGTATGGTGGGTGTTTTTATCACAGGGGTTGTAGCAAGAGGCTCTTGGCTGAATATAGGATGAGATCTGGCATGGAGGCAGCAGCAGGAAATAGATGGGCCATGAGCAAAGCTCTGCACAGACCACACGCAGGGCCTGGGGAACAGAGGGTGGCTATCAGGACATGAGGGAGTTAAACAGTTCCCTGCATCATTGTCTTTTCAGATTACTTTCTTTAAAATTTGAAGAATGATGGGGGATAAAAATCACTTTTATGTCAGAAGCAAAAATCCCTGTTCTTATCTCATTTTTCTTCCTAACTCTTAAAGCAATACATTCATTTTCAGCAAGATGCACCTTGCAAACTGCTGTGGTGCTGGACTCCTGTAACTGCAGTTTCTAAAGTAAAACCCTACTGAATCCTATGCATGATGATACAGTGACAATTGTGGTATGCTCTAACATACCGTAATTTGGCTATGAGAGAGGATCAAGGATAAACCAGACTGGAAGGAGGGTTTATTGCAAGGACCAAAAATACAACCAGCTTCCTCCCTGTGAGCTCTGTTTTGCATTTCCATTTATGTCCTGCAGCTCTCATCGTAAACAGGCTTTTTACAGCGCCTCAGACTCGAGATCTGCACTGCAGCAGCTCAGCACTTCATACAGCAGCGGCACAGAGGGCGTTCTGCATTCAGCAGCACATGCACAGTCATGAATATTCAAACTAAAGCTGTTTTCCCTCAACAGGCAGACCCCAGAGATCAGAGAGCCCACCAGGCAAAGGCACAGGGGCCTGCTGTTATTGCTCTCTGTTGCACAATATTCAATTACCAATTTATTTAAAAATACATGTGGTGGCATTTTGCCATAAGAGGAGAGGAACACACAGGTCTAATTAATCATTGCTCTGAGTGCTTACTTTAAAAACGCCCAAGCCCCTTCCCAGCCTTACAGCTCTTGTTGTATTTGCTGATTTTTCTCTACCTAATGTAATTTTCATGCAGTATTTTAGGCACCTGCTAATTCCCTTTGCTGTCTCTGCACAGGCATCACTCTTGTTTAGAGTATGGCCATGACACACATGGCCCCTCCATGCCTGAGAAGCATCATACAGGGTGTGACAGGGGTGACAGGGTTTGCACAGGACACTGACCAAAGCAACCCTGACCTGGTCTCTCTGCACGGGGTTGAGCTTACTGCTAGGCAGGGGAATTAGCAACAGCGATGCATGAACAGGGGCTTCCTCAAAAAACCCCAGATCTTTCCTTAGTCCTTGCTGAAGGGCTGCACACAAGTGCCTGTGTGTGGGCAGAGGTGGGAGGAAGATGGGACATATCTCTGTTTCTGTGGGAGGTTGGAGCCTCTCCCTGTTGCAATGAAGGAAGGAGAGTAAACAAAGAGCAAAGCAGAGAGAGACAGTCTAAACTGTCCTTTCCCCGGGCAATGTGGCAGAAAACCACACTGAGCAGTGGATCAATGAGCAGAGCCCTCTCATAATATGGTTCTGATACGGGGACTTGGCCTGTGCAGGGGAAGCCTGGGGGACCATATCCATTTAGACAAGCTGAGAAGCTACCTGCCTGAGTTGGGTTTCAGAAACATTAACCTTTCTGAAAATTACTGGATGTCTTTTCCTCCTGCAAGCCAGATCTCCCCTCCATGCACTACACGCTCTATCACGTGCTTGGCTCACGCTGCCTGGCTCAAAGGTAATGTGAAAGAATGATCACTCACAGCTCGATTTGTCTTACGGATGGAGAATTCTTTTATTCTTTTATAGAGACACACTGCTGCAATCTGCTAGATCAGATACTGTCAGAAGAGCATAAACAAGTAGAAATAGGTGGTAACTGGGACGCTGCTCAGCTCAAATGCAGAAGCAGCAAAGCCAGCAGGGACAGAAATGGCCTTTTCTGCAGTTCATGGTGACTCCATCGCTGACATGGGACAGAGACACCTGCTTACACTCCTGCACTAACAAAACTTAAACCATGGGTAACCAAGTTGTGTGGAGGCTCACCCAGTCCAGTGTTACTTACATGTACAGCTGAGGATCCGAGGTCAGCGTGTCGATGCTGATGTGCTGCTCCAGGAGGCTGTAAGCCAGGATAGGTAGTGATGTGAAGCAGATGTTGTACATGGTCAGATAAGCAGCATCATACAGTGGCTTAAAAGAAGAAGAAAGGGTAAAATGAGACACACAGAAGTGCCACTTTAAAAGTCTCTCTGCAAAGAAATTAAGTGTTTCCAGCCCTTATCTCCTGCATACCCTACAGATTCATCCCTTTGTCACAGCCACATAGGACAGCTTCATTTGACAGAATGCTCATGCTCCGCGCAATGCAAGAGGGAACAAGGCACCCACAGGCTGCGTGGCCAGGAACCTGCTCCCACTGACAGGAAGTTTTGTAACTGGTTGGTCTCATCTCCAGCACATTCTCCAGAAACACATGACTAAACAGCCCTTATCACAGCTTTTCTGTTGCTGCTCTTGTGCTGCCATTTCTGTTAATATACTTGATGCCTTCTGTGGCTCTCTAAAGACTAGACTGTTTTAGAGGAACTATAGCTCCTTTTTTTAAAACAAGGAAAAGGCAAGTGGTTTTGCCAAGGCAAGCAGAGAATTATCTCATATCATCTACTCTTCCTCAGCATTACTTTTGAGCCCAAATAGATATAAAAGCCAAAGTTTTTGTCTCCAAGTACATGAACCCACTCACCAGATGAATGTGTCCCTCTGACACTCACTTGGACTAAGCAAGGCTCTGATGACACTGTGTCTTTTTTTTGAGTTGCCATAAAAGAAGGAACTGTTCTTCCTTTTGAGTGACATTTTTAACACAAGGAAACGCAGCAGAGGAGACAAGATCAGGAAGCCCTTGAAAACTTCTTCTCTTAAGAGAAGCAGAAGTAGCAAAATTGGGTGCTGACAAAACAGCTAAACCCCTCTCTCATTACTTCAGGAAGGCATCCAACTTTGTTTATGGCTGGTGGGTGGGAAAGGAAATAAAGCAGGTTTCCTCCTTTTCAGTCATGGGTCTCACAATACTATGTTCCAGATATGGTGCTGAGCACCAAGGTCAGTTCCTACTGTCCTGTAGAGCAAGGTGATGAAGGGACAGGATGCCAAAAGCCAAGTGTCTGCTAGGAAGGCTCATTATGCCACTTGCTTTTTATCCTACCTTTATAGACAAATTACTGAAAATTACCTGCTGTGAGAATCCACAGAAGAACTGGTATAAAAATTGCGGTAAAATGAAGCAAAGGTTCTATGGAAACAAAACACAAATGATCAGCAGGGAAGCACTTGACTTCTCAATCTAAATCCAAGTAGTTTTTCCTGTTATCAGACATTTGTGTCTGATATTACAACATCAGACAAGGCAGGGCACTTGTTCTACCAAGCACAAAACTAATCTAGTGAGCAGCTAGCATCTGCAGAAGACACTGGAAGAAAGTCATGCTCATATTCCCTTCTAAGCCCTGTTTTCAATGGACAGGCACATGGCAGACACAGCCTGTTCTAGGGAAGGAAAACAGAGCTACAGAATATCCTATTTTTTCCCTGATTATTATTTTATTCTATTCCCAAGAAATGCAATAGTATAAACAAAGAAATAAGCTACACCCCCCCCTTACCTTATAGAAGAAATACTGTACAAGGTGTGCTATTCTCACATAATATAAATGCCCATGTGCTAGTAGCAGTTTTCTTAAATGTTTAAACTTTGGCACAGCATAGTCGCTGTTTCTGGAAGCCTGCCGTCCTTCTTTGCCTTTTATACCTGGAGACAGAAGCATGGCAAGGAGTTAATCCCTAAGGGGCTGGAATCTGGATGCTACCCACTAGGTTTGCTCACATCACTCAGTGTCTCAAGGCGTGACAAAGGCTGTGTTTCCCTGAGCATCCCAGGAGACCAAAATACTAACATGCTTGCCATGGTGTGGTTTTGGCTCCACAACACTCAGACCTGCCTCTGGAGTTTTTCAGCTATATTTAGGCTGCTGTCTGATTTCCTGTGTAAGAGCGTGGTGAAGAGTATCTAAGCAGATCTGATAAAAGATAAGGAACTGGTTTCCCCACGGGCTCGCCCACATCTCACACAGCAGAGTCATTTCACTGCAGATGCTCAGCCTCCTGAGACATCCCCACAGAGAAGGGCTAAGGACACACAGGGTTTTTTCACTCAAAAGCCACAGCCAAACAAACTGCACTGGATCCTATTCATTAGAGGGCACCACAGCATTTCCAACAGCCCCAATTAAAGAGCCTGCCCTTTCTCTTCCACTGATGCTTCTTTAGTGGTATTACAAAAATCTCATTTATCTCTGACACCAACCAGCAGACAGAAGGGTAGTTTCCAGCCTCACGTGAGTTGTATGGACAGCACAGACACAACATAACTGGGCATCAGCCCCTGGGAAAAATGTGCAGGTCCCCAGTGCTAAGTTACTGAGTTACTGTGACCAGTTAATGCTAAAGTCTGATACTTCCATGGCACTGACTTTGCAACAACTCCCACTAATCACCCACCAGTTTGCTGCCTGTGCCTTCGTTTTCTGAGCCCCAAGCAACCCTTACCACCACGAATTTGGACACAGAGTTTTTCAACCTAATCTGCAGCACATCACTGATGGAGAGAATGGTACTATTACAGCTGAGCAGCACATGATGATCTCATCTCTCATTTTACAGTGGAGGTGGTAAAACATTGGCACAAGTTGTCCAAAGAGGTGGTGGATGCCCCATTCCTGGGGAGATTCAAGGTCAGGTTGGACAGGACTGAGCAACTTGAACTAGTGAAGATGCCCCTGGTAACTACAGGGGTTGGACTACATGGCCTTTAAAGGTCCCTTCCAACCCAAACTATTCTATGATCTCAAGCACTGATCTGGAGTCAAGCCCTGGCTCCAAAGAAAGCAACAGCAGAGTTTCCACATTTTTCAGTAGGATAAGTTTAGCCATGTGCAATCAGAAACACTGACTGCACCTCAACAGTGAACCCCTGCAAGAGCAGACAGGTCTTGGGCATGAGATGTGTGTTATCAGGAGGGCTTACCTATTCCAACATGTGCTTCCAAAATCATACTAACATCATTTGCACCATCCCCTATGGAGAGGGTTATCGGGCTTCCTTTTGTGTTCTTCACCATTCGCACAATCTAAAATATTTAAAAAAAGGATAGCAGCAGAACCCAAAATTCAGTTAAAAAGCCTCCAGAGATCTTCCCACCATCCCACTTGCAAAAAAGCCCCCTGCCAAGAAAAGCAACCAGGCTTCTACAGCAGCAATGTAATACCTGGAGAGTTCAGGTTAATAAAACCCTCATTCAGAGTTCAGGTTAATAAAAATAAAAAAAGGGGAAGTAACCCCTTGTTAATTTCTTTGCAGTCACAATTAGAGCAAAAGCCCAGATCCAGCTGCACAGGGCTGAAGGACAGTATTTAAAAACAAACCCAAGCAGCAGCATCCTGCTCTTCCCCTCTGCCAGACCCTGCTGTCCCAAAGGTGGGACCTCTCACGTGTCTCAGGGTGCAGAAACACACCACTTATCAGGCTGGGACATCCATCATCTACTGTCATGAGGAAGTTATGGACTTTATCTGACAAATTCAGAAAAGAAAAATAAGAGCAAACAGGGGGGGTTTGTTTATTTCTAATTGCCCTGGGTTTGTGGCTTCCTGTGAGCATATTAAACAAAGGGTCTGCATTCAGATTTGAAAGAATGGTGCGTTTTCATCACGCTCTGAAGCTCAGACAAGGCTTATACACAGCCTGGAGAAGTCCTGGTTGATTAAGATGATCAGGTCAAGTCCCAGCTGATGAATTCAAAGTGCGTCACATCATCTAATGACGGGCTTCAGTCAGTTAGAAGTAAATACCTGTGCTTTCTGCAAAGGAGCCATCCGGCAGCAGAGGACTGCAGTGCACTTCAAGCAGATTTGTAGAAATATGTTTTTGTAATTGCTAGAACCAGAGTCCTGAGAAGGGTTGAGTATCAGCGACAGCGTCGAGCCATCTATAATCAGTCCGTACTCTTGACTCAACGTCCAGCTTCTGGGGCACAACAAGGAACACGTTTGAAACAAAATCAGACTAAGAAGTCAATCTAGCTGCTTGTATCATCTTAGTGAAAAAGAAATTGCTTTTGTATTAATCTTCTTTTCATCCATTCTTGAGGGCTTAGCAATCTTAAAAAGCTTGGATTTAACATGCACCCTTCTCTAAAGGAACTGTGTATGTAATTTCAAAAGTAACTAATATTAGAGATGATGAGCAAAGCAAAGGAGCCAGTTCCAGTGTCTGCAAGTAGCCAGTCCCCAGGGCCACAAGGTCCTATTTCTCTATCAAATTTGCATCTGAAATTCACTATGGTTGAGTCCTCTTGCTCACTTACCTCTTCAGGCCTCCCCGGGTTTTGGGAACATCCTGAATCAGCTTTTTATGGTACTCCATCAGCAGCTCATGGAGCCGATCCTCCTTCCTTTCACTCTCACCCACAGTCCTTGCTGTTAGCTCCAGCAGCTCAGTGCTGGTCTGGAAGAGCCTGCAGGCGTAGCAGGTGGATTTGGCAGTTTCCATCTTGTCTCCTGTCAGCACCCAAACCTTCATGCCAGCTGCGTGCAGAGCTTCGATCGTCTCTGCCAACTGCTCCTGCAGCCTGCAAGCACAAGGGAAACATCACTCCTCAGGTTGGCCTGCACCTAATCCACATAACCCTGATTCCAAGTTAGGAAATACCAGCTCAAGAGAATTGATTTTGCCCATGCTGGGGAGATCACTGCCACAGGAATAAGGATTAGAAATCAGCAATCCCAATTTTTTGTCCGCAGGCAAAAAGAGAAATCACTGTGTTTTACTCTTGACTCTTAGGTCTCACAGTAAGAGTTTAATTCACACTTGCAGTTACTATAACTGCATGTGGAACTGAATTTGTTTTGATGTGCAAATTAATGCTGTGTGCTTAATTCACACTCTAGAAGTACAAGTATTTTTGTAGTTTTATTAATAAATCCCAATTTATACTACACCAGCCAATTTTAGCAACTAGGGCACTGTGAAATGGGCTGTGCCATGGTGTAATTCATTGCCCTGGACACTGCTAGCATCTGCCTGGCTGCTCAGTTCCACCACAGCGAGTCAGGGCCACAATGCAACATCACAGAGACACCACAGGTACTACAGTGCTGGTGGTGGGGTCACCTCTTTACCTGTCTTCTACAGCAGTAGCCCCAATCAGGTGCATGTCTGCTTCTGTGTCGTCAAAAACCTTGGCCATCTTCTCCTCCCTGTCCTGCAGAGCCATCTTAGCTTCATTGAGCTGTCTGTCAATTTTGTCATACTCCTTTTGAGTTAATTCTTTGAAGGCCACGCAGAGCGTTCGATAGCCATCCTGGCGTGGGAAGGGAAAGAAAACAAAGTGGACAAGTGCCCTAAAACTAGATTCTCTACAGCTCCTCACTTTAGGGTGATGCCTTAAGCCCCTAATGGTTTTTTTTTATTTTTCTAATAGTTATAAGACTTGTAAATTTTATAGGTAGGTTTTAAAAGCAGAAACCCCTCTGTCCCTTGTTCCTTTCCCTTGTTTATACATTCCCTAACCCTTTTACCCCATTCTATGCCTTCTATATCAACCTACCCCTGAATCCAGTAGCAGTGTTTAGTCTTTTGTCAAGGTAAAGGCCCAGACTGTTTGGAGAACAGCGTATCAGGGCCTAAACCACAGAGTACGGTCAAAAACTAGGTGACAATATACCCTTTGTACTCTGATGAAGCTGAAGATGATGAAGTAGGTGGTCCCAAAAAGACCCCAGACCCAATTCTCAGGGGGAGGGCCCGGGGCGGTCCAGAGGAAGGGCCAAAGGGTGGACACATCTGGGATTGGATGGATAATGCTATAAAATGTAACCTCTCGGCACGGCTGGCGCGCGCGTCTATATCACCTATTGCCTTGGCAAATAAACCCTTTCTTATCTCACCCCTACTAACTGCTCCGGAGATTTTTTCAGAACCAAAATACACCGCCAACAGTGGTGGAACCCGCACGGGGAGAACTGGACCGGGGACTTCTTCAGACTGAAATTTTCATCAGCAGGAATATTCCTCAGCAAGCCGGCTTTTATCTGAGAGAAATTCCCGCCGGTCTGAGAAGTCCAGCTCCACGGAACCCACGAAAACAAGCACGGAGCATAGAGGTGAGATAAGAAAAGAACGAATCTGGTTAGTTAGCAGCTGCGGGAAAGTTTTGTGTCCCGGGATAGGGGGCACGGATTCCTGAAAATTTTGACTTGGGCCCTCGAAACAGTCTAGAGAGTCAATTTTCAGGGGGAGGCGAACGGGTTAGTTCGCCAATTACCCAGGTCAGGGCGGGTGTTCAGCCTAGGGGCTGTTCTGGTTTTGGAGGGGACGCCCTCCGGTGCTCTGACGCTGTGGGAGAGCCGGTGGGGCTCTATAGTCGGTACGACTTGGTAAATAGCTGAGAGGTTACGTTAACAGCCTCGTGACCTAAAGGTTGTCAGTTTGAGACCCAGTGTGTGTGAGTGGTTTGCTTTTGTTTTGCGAGCATGGGTTGTGTGGATTCAAAAGTTAAGATCCCTAAAGAATCCCCCCTTAGTTTGGTTCTAAAGCACTGGAAAACTTTAGCTGGTTCTGAGACACCTTTAAAGAAGGAAGAGCTGTGTAGGTTGTCTCTAAATGCTTGGCCGTTGTTTGGACAAATGAGAGGGATAGCATGGCCGAAATTTGGTCCGTTTGAACTGGATACAGTGTTTCGGTTGATCTCGCTTCTTCATGTAGAACAGAGGTGGCAGGAAATTCGATATGCAGAGTTGTTCTTGTTTTTGTTAACACGCCCTGAATTGGGTATAGGAGATAAGGAAAACGAAAGTTCAGGAAAGATGGAAAAAGCAGAAATGGTTTTAGGAAGAGGGAAAAGGAAAGATCGAGTTAAAGCTGCTCCTATCCCACAAATACTATTTAAGAACACCGGAGAGGATGATTTGGATATGTTGATATCACCTGACAGGAGAGAAAGTAGCCCGGGAGCTCCACAAATCGGACTCCCTGCTGCAGCGGCGGTGGGGGGGGCTGGAGCTGCCGGGGCAGTGGTTGCTCCTCCTGGACCGGCTCCAGCTGGACAGGCGGGAGCCGTGGGGGGACTCCCTGGCGCAGGCATGGCTGCGCCAGGGGGAGTTGGAATCTCCGGAGGAGTTGGCTCCGGGGCGGCGGGAGCTGCTCCGGGCACAATCAGTACAGGACTTGCTGCCATGGCAACAAGTACAGGAGCAGGCACTGTGGGAGTAACAGGGGCAGGGGCCACAGCAGCAGTGGCAGGAGGGGCAGGGGCGGTGCCAACAGGCGGAGCCTCTGTCCTGACTGACTTGGGAGGTGGGGCTGGAGCCGCCCCCTTTCCCACGCCTCCCCCTCCCGAGGGGGAAGCTTCCATCCTTGGGGGAGGGGGAAGAAAAGAAGAACCGAGGGAGTTTCCAATCTCTGCCTCTCACGAAAAGGGAACAGAAACGCACAGACAGGGCAAGCCGATTCCAGCTGCAGAGAGAAGGGAGAAGCGAGGGTTACCACCGTTTGATAAGGACACGGAAGCAGAGGGTGAATTAAGTGATAACTCGGGGGAAGGAGAAGCCGACCAGCCTGTAGTAAAACCGAAAGGAAAATTGGCTCGCGAAGTGTTAGCTTTCCCCGATCCGGTTGCAAGTAGAACAAGGGCAAAAGACAAGCCACCGTTAGAAGCCCCCTTAAGACAAGCCGTGACCAATCAAGGCACGGTATTAATAAAGGCTCCTTTCTCACTGGTTGAGTTACAGCAATGGAAAGGTTGTGTGGGGGCTTATAGAGATAATCCGGAAAAGATGGCAAATTATGTCCAAAGAGCAATCAAATCTCAGAATCCTGACTGGAATGATCTAGAGGTTATGATGGATACTTTATTAGACCAAACAGAGAAGGAAATGGTGAAAAGAGCTGCTCAAAAAGCAATAGAAATACAAAAAACCTCTGGGCAGTTTCCAGGCGAAGATGTCAAAGATATCTTCCCCCTCACGGATCCTGGATGGGATCCTAATGTGGCAGCAGGTTTAGGAGCTTTGAAACGTTATCAAGATTGGGTAATTTATGGATTTCGGCATGGAGTTCCGAAGGCGGTGAACTGGTCCAAAATGTACGAGGTTAGACAAGACATAAATGAGTCACCTACTGATTTTCTAAATAGATTGAAAGATGTTATCAGAAAATATACGGATATTGACTTAGAGTCAGAGATGGGAAAGAAAAATCTGTTATACTTATTTATAGGGCAGTCCACAGATGATATAAGAAGAAAACTGCAGAAGGCAGGTGGTGATAGAAGGAATATTAGTGAGCTGTTAGATGTAGCCTGGACGGCATATCAAAATAGGGAGCAGAAAAGGAAAACAAGGGAACAAGAAGGTGGCTACAAAGAGCCTCATAAACGTAACCCCAGGTATCAGAGGTCTAACCACCGGCAGGACATAGCCGATGACAGATGTTCTAACTGTAAGAAGAAGGGACATTGGAGAAGAGACTGCCCGGAGCTGAAGGGAACTGAAAACACACTTCCCCCACCACCACCCCCAGCCCCCCAACTGACTGTGAGTCAGAATGTATGAGGGGGACCGGAGGTTTCTTACCCAGCAGAGCCTCTGGTTACAGCTAAGCTGGGGGGGGAGAATGTTGAATTTTTGGTTGATACAGGTGCGGCATACTCTGTATTAAATACTTTGGAAGGGAAACTGAGCCATGAAACTGTAACTGTGGTAGGTGCTACAGGGGTAAGTGAAACAAGGCCATTTTTTAAACCTTTAAAATTCAAACTGGGCAAACACTGGGTAACTCATCAATTTCTCTATATGCCAAATTCTCCTAAGCCTCTACTGGGTAGAGACTTACTGGAAAAATTAGAAGCTGAAATTAAATTCACCAAGGGGGGAGACATAAAGGTTATAATCCCAGATACTAAATATGTCGAGGCAGCTGCTTTCTTTATACAGGAAAAACATGGAGAGATCCCTGCAGAAGTTGAAAATGCTGTCATACCTTTAGTCTGGGCCAGCGAGTACCCTGGGAAATCAAAGCAAGCTGAACCAGTAAGCATCGCACTCAGGCCAGGAGCAGCCCCGGTAAGGCAGAAACAATATCCTTTGAAATTAGAAAGCCGAAAAGGCCTAGCACCTATAATTGAAAAGTTCCTCAAATTTGGTTTACTAGTAGAATGTGAATCCAGATTTAATACCCCCATACTGCCCGTGAGAAAGGCTGATGGCAAAAGCTATCGGCTAGTCCAAGATCTTAGGGCCATTAATAGAATAACTGAGGACATTTACCCAGTGGTAGCCAACCCCTATACACTGTTAACCACATTGACAGAGGATTTAGGATGGTTTACTGTACTCGACCTCAAAGATGCCTTTTTCTGCATTCCTGTACACAAAGATAGCCAGGAGATTTTTGCCTTTGAATGGGAAAATCCTGAGACAGGGAGAAAAACGCAACTAACCTGGAGAGTTCTTCCACAAGGCTTTAAGAACAGTCCAACGCTTTTCGGAAATCAGTTGGCAAAGGAACTGGAGGACTGGAGAAGACAGCAGCAAGAAGGAGTTGTCCTGCAGTATGTTGACGACATCTTAATTGCAGCCAAAAACCGGGACCAATGCATCGAGCTCACTGTAAGTCTCTTGAACTTTTTGGGGCTAAGTGGGTATCGGGTCTCGAGAGAAAAGGCACAGATAGCCAAGGAGATAGTCATCTACCTGGGACTTGAAATCTATCGTGGGCATCGGCGACTCAGTACAGACCGAAAAGAGGCCATTTGCCGTCTCCCAGAGCCCCACACTGTACGAGAGATGCAGGCTTTCCTGGGAATGGTAGGATGGTGTCGGCTGTGGATAGCTAACTATGGGTTGCTAGTCAAACCTCTGTATGAAGCCCTGAAAACGGCCAAAGAGGGAGTTATAACATGGACAGATGAGACCAGAGATGTGTTTAAGCAACTGAAACAGTCCTTGATGTCAGCTCCAGCATTAGGACTACCAGATTTGACTAAACCGTTTGAACTGTTCACACACGAGCAGTTAAATGTTGCTCTGGGAGTATTATCACAAACTCTGGGAAGCCAACGAAGAGCTGTGGCTTATTTCTCCAAACAGCTGGACAGTGTTAGCCAAGGGTGGCCGGGGTGCCTGCGAGCTGTCGCAGCAACTGTTATCCTGATTGAAGAGGCCCGGAAGCTCACCCTTGGGCAGCACATCACTGTGTATGTACCCCATGCAGTTCAAGCTGTGCTTGAACAAAAGGGAGGCCACTGGCTGTCCCCCAGCAGAATGCTTAAGTACCAGGTTGTGTTGCTGGAACAGGACGATGTTACCCTAAAAACAACATCTATTGTAAATCCAGCTATGTTTCTGTCTTCAGCACTAACTGACAGTGTCCCCGAGCATGACTGTTTGCAGACTATAGAGGAGACTTACTCCAGCAGACCAGACCTGAAGGATGAGCCCCTGGAAAACGCAGACTGGGAACTGTATACAGACGGAAGCAGCTTCATGCGAGATGGTAAACGCTTCACAGGGTATGCAGTGACAACCAGAGACGAAGTGATCGAGGCAAAAGCCTTGTCAGCAGATGTGTCATCCCAAAAAGCAGAATTAATTGCACTGACAAGAGCCTTGGAACTGAGTGAAGGAAAGAAGGTAAATATCTGGACTGACTCAAAATATGCATTTAGTGTTGTACATGCCCACGGAGCCATCTGGAAGGAGAGAGGACTACTGACAGCCCAAGGCAGTGGAGTCAAGCATGCAGACCAAATCCATGCACTCCTGCAGAGTATTTGGAAACCAGAGGAGGTAGCTATTATGCATTGTAGGGCCCACCAGAAGGGGAAAACAATTCCCGAGTTGGGAAATCAGTTTGCTGATCAAGCAGCAAAAAGGGCTGCAGAAAAAGGCATCTTGGCAGTAGTGCCACAAAAAGAAATTGATTTGACAAAATACACCCCTAAGTATGATGAGAGAGACAATCAGCTAATTAGATCACTGAAAGCTGAAATCAAAGAAGGGGGGTGGGCTGTTACCCCTACTGGACAGGTTGTAGTCCCACCACCGCTCCTTAGGGAAATAGCTCAACAGGAACATGAGGCTACCCATTGGGGAACGGAAAATCTCCTGAAACATCTAAAGAAAACAGTAATAGGAACAAATATGACCGAAGCTGTGCAGTCTACGGTAGGTAAGTGTGAGATCTGCAAACGAAATAATCCAGATACATCAAAGAGAGTGGTACTAGGGGTAACAAAAGCTGGAGACCAACCCGGAGATTACTGGCAAATAGATTTTGCTGAGTTACCACCATGGGGGGGTACAAATACATCCTTGTACTAGTTGACACTTTCAGTGGATGGCCTGAAGCATACCCCTGTCGCACTAATGCAGCAAGGGAAGTGGTAAAAGCTTTATTAAACCACATAATTCCAAGGTTTGGGGTTCCTCTAGGAATGGCATCAGATAGAGGAACACATTTTATTGCGGCAGTAGTAAAAGAAGTATGCCGCATCCTGGGAATTGTCTGGGACCTACATACCCCCTATAGACCTCAGGCTAGTGGCAAAGTTGAACGAATGAATGGCACCTTGAAAATGCAAATTAGTAAAATTTGTCAGGAAACATCTATGTCCTGGGTTCAGGCTTTGCCACTAGCTCTGCTGAGAATTCGTATCCAGCCGAGGCGGAGGGATAACATAAGCCCCTATGAAATATTATATGGAAGACCATATCAGGCACCACATGTACCAGGGGATGTACACTTAAGAGGGAGAGCCGATTTACAAAAATATTTGATTGCTTTAGGCTCTACTTTGCAGAAGCTGCAGAAGGTCATTGAGTTATCCAGACCTATAGGACTGGACACCCCTGCTCACCCATTCCAGCCAGGAGACTGGGTCTACGTCAAGTGGTGGAACAGTGACCCCTTGAGAGCCAGGTGGAGAGGACCTTACCAAGTCCTGCTGACCTCCCTCACCTCCGTCAAAGTTGCTGGCAGAGAACCCTGGTTCCACTACTCTAGAGTCAAGAAAGCATCAGCTCCTGGGACAACCAACCAGACAGAACCAGACACCGACGACGAGGATGTGGAATAGACTGCTTGTTCTGTGTATTCTGTTCATGCAACCGGTAACCATGAACCGAGTTTGGGACCAAAAATTGCATGTGGCCCTAGTCCAAAACGTATCTAAAATTCTCCGAAAAACGGAATGCTGGATTTGTACTCAAGTACCAGCAATTGACGATGAGAATAGTGAGTGGCCCCTAATTGGCATTTTACTAAACGAGACAAACTTCGGTAAATCCATGATGAATTTCCCAGGGTCCTGGAAGCCAGTTACAGAGGCCTATTACCCGGTGGCCCTAAGTAATGTAATTTCTAATCAGGATGTTGTTCCCTGTATGATCATAAACGCTACAGGAAAAATCATTCTCCCCCCCTACTGTGATAAAAACAATTTAAAAGAAGAAATAAACCCAGAAATTGTTGCAGGGATGGCACAGTTCCCTTTGAGATTAATTCCTCCCCAGGGTTCGGGATGGTATTGGATTTGTGAAAAGGAAGCCTGGAAAGTTTTGCCTCTTGATAAGGATCGGGCCTGTGCTCTGGGAGCAGTGATTCCAAATATAACAATCCTCGATCCAATTGATGAACCAGAATGGGAAAGACCCTATCCAAAAAGAGTGAAAAGAACTAGCAATCCCCTCATTGAGCACCCTACGATTTTCCATAGCATAATCAGAGCTTTAATCCCATCTCTAGGAGTGAGTGAATTGGAAAAGGCAATTGTAAATATTTCGGCTGTTATGGAAAACATACAAGATCACACTCTGGATGCAATTGAAACCCTGAAAGAACAGTTCCAAAGCTTGTCTCGTGTGGTAATACAAAACAGAATGGCCCTCAATTTTTTGCTAGCCTCACAAGGAGGTGTGTGTAAAGTCATCAATACCAGCTGCTGTTCTTACATAGATCAGACTGGTAGAATTAATAATGATTTGGCCGCAATTCGAAATCAAACCGAAATTTTTCATCAGATATCTCTGGATGATGTCTCCCTAGGTTTAGGAGACGTCCTCAACAAACTCACCTCATGGTTACCGAACTGGACATGGATGAAACAACTGTTTATCTTAGTATTGTATATACTTAGTGTTAGTGTAATAGCTCACTGCATACACCGATTTTATAGTTGTTGTAAGTGTAGGTAGTAGAGATTGGACAAAGACCTTTGGGTTTTGTCCAGTCTCTAAGGGGGGAACTGATGCCTTAAGCCCCTAATGGTTTTTTTTATTTTTCTAATAGTTATAAGACTTGTAAATTTTATAGGTAGGTTTTAAAAGCAGAAACCCCTCTGTCCCTTGTTCCTTTCCCTTGTTTACACATTCCCTAACCCTTTTACCCCATTCTATGCCTTCTATATCAACCTACCCCTGAATCCAGTAGCAGTGTTTAGTCTTTTGTCAAGGTAAAGGCCCAGACTGTTTGGAGAACAGCGTATCAGGGCCTAAACCACAGAGTACGGTCAAAAACTAGGTGACAATATACCCTTTGTACTCTGATGAAGCTGAAGATGATGAAGTAGGTGGTCCCAAAAAGACCCCAGACCCAATTCTCAGGGGGAGGGCCCGGGGCGGTCCAGAGGAAGGGCCAAAGGGTGGACACATCTGGGATTGGATGGATAATGCTATAAAATGTAACCTCTCGGCACGGCTGGCGCGCGCGTCTATATCACCTATTGCCTTGGCAAATAAACCCTTTCTTATCTCACCCCTACTAACTGCTCCGGAGATTTTTTCAGAACCAAAATACACCGGCAACAAGGGTTAATGCTTTTGTCCACCGTCAGTGCTTCTCGCAGTACTGACCCTGAGGGCAAGGACAATTTGCTGGCTTGAGTCAAAAGAGAGATTTTCTCAGTGTTTATACAGTAACTTCATCCCCACAGACTAATCGTGGTTCTACTTATCATGTGCAGGGCATAGGGCAGAGAGAAATTAAGAGAAGGACCAGAGCTGAGAGCGTGCACCCGGCAGGGAGAGCAGGGACCAGGTGCCACCACGACTGGGACCAGGCACTTCTCCCACTGGACTAAACAGCCTGTTGTTGTTACTTCTATTTTTAACTTGCCTGGGAGATGCTTGGACACAACTGTGATGGAGACCATATAAGTATATCAAATAAAGGTGGAAGCCAACGAAACAGAAAAGGAAAGAAGCCTAGCATCAAAACAATGTGAAGTGACACTCAGATTTTCAACACTTCCCTCCAAGGCAAGGTCACATCCCTATTTTTGGAATAAAGCTTTCCTGATCCCAGGAGCCAGCCAAATTCCATCCGTGTGCTCACCATAGCATTGCGGTCCACATGGACTTTTGTTTGTTGGATTTCTTCTTGCTGCACCCTTGGAAAAATAGAGGAGTCTGCTCCTTTACAGAAGAGAAGTAACTTTCCTATAAGGAAATTATAAATAGTTTATAGCATTCATAAGCTGTAGAAAAATTTAACAACGTCAATAGTGAGCAAGTGATGCTGAGGGAGGAAATCTGGCAGGACTAAAGAAGGAACTGCTAGAAGCCCAGTTGACTACCAAAAGTGGCCTTACACTAGCCTGTGTAAAATCTTGTTTGACCCCAAGCTGGGACATCAGGTGTCCCTACCTGCTTCTAAGCAACCTTCCTGTAGCAGGCTGGACAAAGCAGTTTATTTTTTCCTATTTAGAAGCCTTGGTAACCTTACCAGGGAGGGTAAAACCAGCATCCCATACCTTACAGGACTGACACTCGAGAAGGATGGCGACCTCTGAATTTTTGTCTGTTATCCCCATGAAACCCCATCCCACTCAGGGGACATTCTCACATCTTTCTCTCTGTACTTGTTCCAGCCTGGAACAAGGCAGGCAGGAAGCTCTCCATGGGTCACTGTTCCCTCCCCTGATCTGGTGCTGGGTCCCAAATGGCTGCTACAGAGGAAAATTAACTCTATCCCAACCAGAACTGACACAGAATTTAGTTAGATCAGCTTAGAAAACTAAAAGCTCAGTCTCTCTAGATTACAGGAATAAGAAGAATGTGTTTTATATCCGTGCACATACATATGAGAGTCCACAAATGCACTTGGATTGTACCTGTGGTGGTTCTCACAATGACACTCATACGGCGACGGACAGGGTCAAAGTTCAACACGTGGAGAAGTTGGTACCTTAAAAAAAAAAAAAAAAAGCTTTGACTCAGTAAAAGAAAACCAGAAAAATAACTATTTGAGACAGAAAATCACTAACAATGAGTTGCAGAAATCAATACACTCTACAAGAGGCATCACCCGCTGGGGAATGTACTTTTTACAGCTACTGCACATGAAAATGGAGAAAAAAACCTGAACTCCAGTGGTGCTCTGAGCATAGGGCTGAGGGTGTGGGTGCCACCACTGTGCCAAGTCCCCAGGGTGGGCAGAGGCTCAGCAGTGGTAGAACCACATGGCACAGGCAGCAACACTGACTCTGCCAATTAAGTAAGAAGTTTCACCGCAAAGGAAGTAAGAAGTGAAACTTGCTTGTGAAGGCAAGTTCTCAGGGAGCACTGGGATTAGGTCAGTGACTCTCAGGTATCCACCAAGCTGTGAGCACAGGGTAAAATCTAACTATTTTCAGCTTGGGAGGGGAAAAAAGGTTACAGGGAAGGGAGATGTATCATATATTTAGGCTTACAGTATCCTGCTGTGAGACCCAGGCACTGTCCATAAGGTCAGCAGCCACCCAGTGAATACCAGGAGCCATCTGCATGGCTGGGCACGGATGAAGGATACACGCAAAGGTCTGCAGGCACTTAAGGGACCTGAATTTAGACGTCAGTAAACCACCCGTGGATTTCTGTAAGTGAGCCTTTCAGCCTGCACCTCGCTGTGCTGTGCTTTGTAAAGAGGACAGGACTTTTCAGGCAGGTCAGCGTGGCCTGACAGCCCTCAAGGAACAGCTTTGACCTTGCCAGGTTGACCAAACTTGCTTAAGCCGTCTGGGAGCGGCGCAGGAGAGCAGCCTTGTTCCTCGGCAGCCCCAGCAGCACTTACATCTCAGTTTCATTCTTTTGGTTTCGTATTTTCATGAAATCGTTTTCAAGTCCTAGAAAAGTGAAACCATACCTGTCAATAAACAAAAGGACAGAACAACATTGAAAACACCCATTGGCACGTATTATGCATTAAAAATGTTCTCATTTCGCCTTCTGAACTGCAGAGGAGAGTAAAGAAGTCAGTGAGTCCGAGCTAAAGAGCATGGCTGGATGTTTGCTTACTGCATACACAGCCTGCTATGATGTTCTGGCACTGCTCCCATCACCTGGAGAGCTTGGGCACTGGAGCACAGTGACATTAAGAGCCTCTGGACATGGTCCACTGGGTCTCTGGCAGATTTACAAGCCATAAGCAAGTATATACAGCTGCAACAGCCTCATCTAAAACCTAGGGCCTGGCAATAGCATCGAATCCCTGAATGGTTTGAGTTGGAGAGTATCTTACAGATCATCTAGTCCCAACCCTCTGTTCACTAGTCCAGGTTGCTCAAAGCCCCATCCAGTCTGGCCTTGAGCATCTCTGGCAGGACACAAATGTGGGGTTGACAAAAGTAACCCACCCTATGGTTTGCCACTGCACACCAAGGAAACAATTTCGCTGCAATATGCAAATGGTAACTGGTCTCTGTTTCTTGGGGATTAATCTACAAGGTCATGAGGGCTCCAGCAAAGGAGGGAATTGAAAACCCAACATCTTCAAATCCTTACTTTTCTGCGCCTTTCACCAAAGCGATTTCATCTGGGGAAGAGGAGATGTAGGTGTATTTGCGCTCTGGGTGTCCTATCAGCCCATCCACCTGGTCTGCTTCCTTGATCTGAACCGTGTGGCACAGGCAGAGGGCCCGCAGGAACAGCTCCTCGCGGCTCTAGGCAGAAATGAGGTAGGGCTTGTTACCAGCCCACCTTGCAGTACTTGGTTGTGATTTTTGTGTACACATATTTAAAAACCAAAAAACTCCAAACCCTACACTCCCTCCCAGTTTCCGCTGTGTTCACCCAGCCAGGAGCTGACCACTAAACCCTAACAGCCACCAATATGCATGCTTCTTACCTTTTCTGCCTTGCCATAGTATTTTGGGAGTCCATCAGTCTGAGAGAAGCCATCCACCTCTGACATGCAGTCTTTGTACTTGTGCCCATCAATGCAGCACTCGATGAACTCCATGCTGTTCTCTGTCAGGGTACCAGTTTTGTCCGTGAAGACATACTCCACCTGGAAGCAAGCAGGCAGGCTGCCTCACTGCACCTCCAGCCCCAGCTGTTGGGGAAGGAGCCAAGCCAGAAAAAGAGGCCGGGGCATTTCACTGCATCTGTGCCAGTGCTGGAGAGTAGTACTTTGCTGCTATCCTAACCTGACCCTGCAGAAAAGATGCAGGTGCCCCATTTCATCACTGTGTAGTTCTTCTACTTTGCTCCTTAGAGCAGCTCCTTTGTTTTTCAGCCTGTTTCATGGGTGGCAGGAGGCAGCTTCTGAAGATTTAAAAATCTGGTTCCAGGTTCTTCACTTTCCCCTCATCCTCTTTCTTGGATACTTTGCTATAGCTCCTTGGGTTTATAGAACTGCTACTGCAGGTCTGCTGCCTCCTTTGGGGGATTTTCATCTTGGTGCTGTGTTTCAATTAGTTAATTGCTACTTCAAATGTATTTTTACTGTTTTTTAAAGCAAAATTAAAAGCAGGAAGCACTACACATGCCCTCCATTCAGTCTCTCCTGGTGCAGATAAGAAAGGGAAGCCTAAGCTGCCTAGGTGCCCCAGCAGCAGAGCAGCTGCAAGTGCTCTGCATGCCCAGGGAGATGACTGGGCAGACATTTTCGTTAATCCTCAAAGAGACAGAGGATTTTTAATTTTTAATTGAAGCAGTGAAAGCAAACCACCCTGACACGCAGAGTGCTGCGCCTGATATTCCCCAATATGGAAACAATTGGCGTGACCCAATTCCTGCTCTTTCATGCACTATTTATATCCTTATCTGTTTCGCAGAGCGAGGGGGAATCACATTAAATGGAAAGTGCCACCAAAGCGGGTGAAGCTCTGCCCTGAGGGGACCACAACAAGGGTTCCTAGCAGGGGGGACATTTTCACCCACGCTTTCATCCAAGCAGATGCAAACAGAGTGTGTTCTGACCTGCCCAAGCTCTTCGTTCAGGTCTGAGGTGTTCACCAACGCTCCCTCTTTTATTTCTTCGTCGTACATCTCCTTGTCCCAAGAGATGAAGAAGGAGCCCAAGAACTTCTGCATCTCTACTGTAACATACATGGAGACTGGGATAATAAAATTGAAGAGAACCATAAATGACAGGAAGTCCGTGAACATCCGCAAGACCTACAAAGGAAAGAGAAGATGTAGTCTGTGTCCATCAGGAGTAACTCAAGGCCAGTTTACAGCAACACCTCGGGGATTTTAGACAGCTTTTCTTCTAAGGTTAAACAGAAAAAAACCCACCCGAAAATGAATATAGCTAAGATACAGGGCTAAATCCCGTTTTCCTTTGACACAAAAATAAAAGAAAGCTCCATGGTGACCAAAACAATGTTTTATCCAAGCATATTCCTCTTAACAGAATACTGCTGCAGGTCCATCCCGATCCCAAGTAACTGAAAACAAGGAGCAGGTGTCTTGAGACTAGTTAAGTTATGACAAGGGTACAACTGATTCAGTGACATCCCTGTAAGTCCTGCTCAATAATCCATCAAATAACAGATCTCTACACACTTGCACTCTCTCTTTCAGGCTTGACTGCCCACGTCTCGGCAAGTTTAAGAAACTGGTTGATGTGGCCTCAATTTAAGTTTACCTATTCAAAGCTGAAAGATAGCTCCAGTTCAGATAAGGACCCAGGTTAAATCAGCTGCACTTCTATATTATATAGTATTTATTTATGCCTTGCCCTGGTCCACAGAAATATCACTGTGCACAAGCACGAAAGAGGCAGGAAAGAAACAGAGACAGCAGGAGAGACCAAAGGAAACAACAGCACTTTCTGCAGGCAAACAGGACTCACAGGGCTGGCAGCAGGCACCACAATTAAATAAAACCGTCAGAATAGGTAAAGCTGGAGGAGGTGCTGAAAATACAAATCCACTTACCTTGAATGTCTCTCTCTCTTTTTTAGTCTTTTCATTGTACCAAGGCTCATCATTAAATGGATTACTCTGCCAGACGTATTTCAGAGTCGTGCACACAGTGGCCTTGCTCAATAGGATGCACAAATACACTATCAAGAAAGCGTTGATAGATCTGAAAAACAGTTTTCTTTTTTCAATTCTTGCAGCTATTTTTACACAGAAAACTGTGTAAATAAGCAGGAACAAGACTTCCTTACTTTTAAGAAAGGAAATACAGAACAAGTGCTTTTGACACTGCTGATATTCAGAGTCAGGTTCATATATTTTAACATCTCTTAATTTTGTTTTTAAATTAAAAAAATACTAAATTATGCTGCTTCTTGCAAGATACGCTTTATCAAATACCCAGATTTTCCTATGCAATCAGAGAGCATCTGAAACAAAAGGCAGTAGATTAGGGGATTATGTCTGTACAAGTCATCCATTAAAAACAAAAACAAACCCAACAACTCTTACTGATTTTTTCTGGAATATTAATACTCACTTTTCCACTGCAGACCGTTTCTGAGATTTCCCTTGGTAGTTCAGAGCCATTTTCGTCTCCATTCCAGTATAAACTGCAACTCCTGCAGGGTATCAAAGCAGGGCTCATAAGGGATTTGCAGCCCCAGAGGGACCCAGCTGGCACTTGACCATAAGGGGCATCGGTGTTTACATCAAACTCAAATCCCAGCTGAAGGAAGAGGCATTACCCAAGGACTGTTCAACTACAGAAACCTCTGAGGCTGCCAAGTAATGCAACTGCATGTATCCCAGAGGACTGAGCAGGAGCCTATGGATCACATACAGTCAGAAAAACCATCAGTCTTCCATAACAGCCATCGCCCTAAATCATCAGTGTCTGGAACTCTGCTCCTAGCACATTTCCAGCAAAGGATTTGGGAACAACTCCTTGCTCATTGTATCTTGGGCAAAAAGAAAAGCTTGCTCTGGTGTATAAATACAACCTGCACAGCCTGGCAGCAACTGTAGACACAACCACTGTCTCCTAATTTCACCCTGTCCACTTTGCAATCAGCTTGCATGCCAAACATAGCTGTTTAGCCCAGGCAGACAGGCTGTAGAGAAGTATTTTCCCTCTCCAAATTTAGTAATGAACATCTACATTTCTCATCGTTTATCAAAACTATTTAAATGAATAAGTAATAAAAACTGTTCACCATAAATCTTCTTGGTATTTTTGAGGGTAGCACCTTTCAGCAACAGGTTTTCAGGACCCAAAGACCTAAACATAAAAGAAATTATAATATTACATTACTCAAACTACTTTATAATTTAGACTCAGAGACAGATTATAAAGCTAAACAGATGCTCTTTAGATTTGAGTACATGATTTGTACGTAAAATTGGGTCTTGCTTGAGTTTTTTTTTTCTCTTTATATACTTACATTTCCATTTCATCTTACACAGACTATCCCTGATGCTCAAAGTCCCACATTTATTGGGGGATTATCAGTAAGGCTTTTGAGGAATAAGTGCAAAATGTTCAGATCTCGTATGTTCCAGTACTTAGATGAAAATCCGATTTTTAAAGCATCAAAGCACAGTCAATCAATGGCACCATCAAAGCTGGTGGTCCCATTTATGTTTTTATTTCTCTCTGAAATCCCCAATGACACTCTGTTGACCCCCATCCATGACCCTCTCTTGCTTCCAGGGTATGAGTAGATCCATCACAGCACAATAGACATCCACCATGCTCCAGTGACAGTTGACTTTTTTTGATGGCTTATGAACATTATTTGTTCATTTTTTCCCTGAAACGCTCCGATTGATGTTTAAGTTTTTGCTTTCCTTTGAAAGAAAATATTTTGTGATTGTCTGGTAAATTTCCCATCAGCAGGGCAGGAATTCCCCTGCACTGCTTCCCCAAGAGGGGCTCAAACGAGTAACAGGATGGCAGAAGGGAGGTCTCCTTTTATAATGAAATCTTTGGAATGGTTAAAGAAAAAAAACATTCCCAAATGATGGCAGCACAAGTTCAGATCCTTGAAATTTTATGTAGATGCCCAACCCCTCTGAAGAGGGCCAGCAGATGGCTGTAAGACCAACCTGGCTACAGGCTCCTGGTTACTTCTGTAGATGATAATTCTTCCAACAAATCTGTAATAAAAATATGAGAAAATTCTATTACAAACATCTTATAGATACTACAAACATACTAAGAAAAATCACTGACAGGAGATGGAAGTAAACACAGAAACGAGTGCATTTGAGAGTTTAACATTTCAGAGGGGTGGTTGCACTCAAGACAAGGAGAAACCACACACCCCCAGGGCCAGGGGTGTCCCTACATGCCCCAGCACATCCCCATTACAGACTGCAACACACCCCAGCAAACCTCCTTCAAAGGATTTGACTACAAAGACCCCTTACTCCTGGAAGTCATTTGGCCCAATGTATTTCACCTGGGAGGTAGACTGGCTAAGATAATCACATGGATCATTACTGCAGCTGAGCTGACAAAAAGAAAGCTCATTACACCACGGCAAGTGCTGCATGACAGAGGTTTTCCTGCAAAGACACTCAGCCTTGAAGAACTGTAGTGTTGACTTTGCCATCCTCATTTGGAAGAAGCCTAGAAGCTTATCACTGCCTTAAGAAACCTTTTCATCTCAAACTAAAAGAAGATGGCCTTTGCTTTGCTGAACTGTAACTTAGCAGATCTCCCGAATGACGGTGCTGAGGTGTCTGCAGGACATTGGGCAGGATAGACAGGGAGGGATGTAGGAGGGGCAGGGAGGGATGCAGGAGGGGCAGACTCACTTGTAGAGGTCAGGCTGTGGCTGTTCACACTCGATGGTGGCAGTGAGGGTGTCGATGGCTTCATCTGTACAGAGCACGGTGGTATCCCGCACTGCGTAGTGAGTCTGGGCAGAGGAGAACAGGCAGTGTCACCACAAGCCCCCAGCAACAACCCCATCCCCAAGTTTTACACTGTTACTTAAAATGTCACCATGCACAGGCTTGTTAGCACCAGCAGTTCACCCAAGCCCTCACCATGCTCCCACAAAGCAGCTGAAGCATCTCTCAGTGAAAGAATGAAGTCACTAAAGTTTAAGAAAAAACATAGTGGCAAGGAGCTGCTGAATATCTCCCAGTAAGACATCTACCAAAAGCAGAACATTTTTGGTTGTTCCCTAGGAACCTGTCCTGGTTGAGGCAGGGGGAGGATGCAGGTGACCCCTGAAGAAGGGGCTCCCGGGGACCACCTGCCCTGGCTCCTGATGGTAACTAGACACCAGCTCCAGCACCCAGGGATCAGGCAGAGCACAGGCAGACTCCAAGCTATTTTTAGCAGCTGCTGCTGCAAAGGTTCATCTCTCATAATTAACTGGAAAGCCCACAGAGGATCTGCTCGCTGCCTTTCAGGCTCTATTTATAGGAGCTACTCCGAGCTCCAAGTCACGGCGGGCTGCACGGCACGCTGCCTCCATCCATCTTCATAAACAAATTCATTAAAAAGCTTCCTCCACTCCTTACGTTTGCGTCCCCCTCCTTGTGCATCCCAGGGAGCACCATTACATTACACACACTGTAGTCATGGCTTCATAAATAGCCACCTTCGTGCCGTTTTGGTGACCTGCCTGGCTGTTCGTATCGAAAGCAGACACACAAACACACACACCCCTCCAGTATAAATCACAGCTTTTGTGAAACACAACTCGAAGCTGTTCCTGCAGTGTCCAGTACCAAATCCAGCCCTTGTGTGGGGTTTTGCATCTGCTGCTCCCAAAACCACAGACACTGAGTGATGCTTCAAAGCTGTCTCCTAATCAATTCCACAATCTTTACATCCTCTAGTGTATTTAGAAAACACGTGTTCTTTTAGCTAACGTATGACCAAAGATTTGAGGTTCAAAGACAGAGCCCTGACAAAATCTCTTTTATGGTTCTGTTCCAGTTTCACTTAATCAGGCACCTTTCCCATATTTCGACCTGACATGCCCCAAATACCAGAAAAATCTCCACCAGGATGACAGCAGATATCCATGCAGACGAGGTTTGGTGATTACCCAAGTGTGCTTCCCTCACCCTCCTTTTGCAGCAAACCCTGGTTCCTAATGTTAGACCTATTTCCCCAAAGAGAACCAGCTTTTCTATTCCTCTTTCCCTTCAAACTCATCTTCATCTCATCATGAAACAGGAGACAGCTCCCAGTCACCTACAGGAATTTGCAAACCAAGAAAAACACAACACAGTGCTTGATATAGAAACTCAGCATCACACTTACAGACTCACAAGTTACTAAGACCCAAGACTCTGCAAAAGTAATGTGAACTCATGCATATAATACACCTGACAAAAATAAGCAGTAGCCTTTTTAATATGGTTATCCATTTTTAGCCTCAAGCCACTTCAAAGCTCCAACTCCTCTTCACTAGTGGAACCAGTACAGTGCACCAGCACTGCATCAGCTCCTACACAAGTTATCCAGAACCAATTAATAGCCAACAATAGAGATGAGCCACAAACCCCAGATAACACTTATCAGATCCACAGTGGTATTCCCAATGACTTCAGAGTGTGCCAGAATGAATTATGTAATTTTAAAGTATCTTCCAGTCTTACTACTGCAGCTGCTAGTATCTGTATAAAAAATTATCAAACCCAAGTGCAAACATTTGGGTGCACTTGGGTTTGATAATTTTTTATACAGATAATTTGATAATTTTTTATACAGTTTTTTACTGTTGCTTCTTTCCCTAGATTAGAGAGTAAGAAAGAAAATAAACTGAAGAGATTCATCCTGAGCAAGACTAGTATTAAATTTCACTTCTTGCTTCAAGGAAAGGGAGAAAAAAATCCCAGAAGCGACGCTTTTCTCACACTGGTGAAAAATTCCCCAAATGAATCTGGACATACTGCCTGAAAAAGTCCCCAGTTTCACTGGAAATGCTCGGTTAAGTAACAGGCACGTTGGCAGGTACTGGAAAGGGAGCTGAAGAGCTGCAGGCACTGCTTTACTGATGCTCCAGACCTCGCAATGTGCAGCTGGAGCAGGGAAGCACTAACATGTTCCTGTGGTGGGCAGTAAGGCAGTGAAGCTGTATTGATAAATATCAATACAGTTTGGGGCATTGCCAGCAGAAATGGCTCTTGGAGACAAAACACAGCACAAACAATCTCTGAGGGCTTCAGTGCTGACGCACTGGAAGCAGACAAGAGGGAGGAGCTGTTAAATGCAGCCATGCAGCCACAGGGATGGGCTCCGTGGGAGCACACTCCAGTTAAGTGCACCCTTCTGTCATGGAAGCAGTGGCACCTCCAGGTACCAAAGGACCACCTCCCACACATTGCCCCATCCATTCCTCTCACCTTGAAATTGGACTCGCCATCAAGACTCGCTGTAGTGACATAACAGGTCCCATCAATGCTGCTGGAGGCCAAAAATATCAAGTCACAGGGGAAAGTCTCATCTGCTTTCACTTCTACTATGTCACCAACCTAGAAGATGGAAAATATTTACATGAAAAGTCCTCTCAGTTGTTATGAGATGGTTATGATTTAGCTTCTCTCAAAGCCTAGAAGAAATCACCTTGGCTAAAAAGGTAAATTGGGGTTCAAGAGGTGTTGGGTCCTTAAGCATCACCCAACAAGCCCTACAGGGTGATCCAGCCCATCACCAAATCAGAGCATCCACATGGCACAGTTACTGTTTATTTCTCTGCTAAATCTTGATGGAGCAAGAAACTGTACTTGTCTGAAGTGTGGCGTGATAAATTAACGTCAAAGCTAAGTGTACTTTCCTGGTGTCCTTGGGAGAGTTGGAAATAGAAGAGGACTGCCTGTCCTGGAGAAGTGCAAAACGCTGACAGATCTGTCACTTGTCAGCCCCAGTTCAGCTTTTGTGAGACAGCTTTTCAAAAGCAATCAAAGGCAGCTTCACTCCTTAAGCAGGAACAGCTCGGGAAGCATCTCATCTGAAAGTGAGCAGGCTGGGGCAGCTCTAACCCAGTACCTCCCTCCTCCCCTGTCCCTGTCTCCTTACCACACAGACCTTTGTGTTCCCATCAGCTTCAGCGATAACCACGTGTGAGTTAACAGTTACCTTGATTTTTTCACTCTCTTTCCGCACTTGCTTTGCATTTTCGACAACGAAGACATTGCTCTTGTTCACTTCATTGTCAGCTCTGTGCCTCAGCCAGTCCTCGTACCCCTAGGCACACAGACACAGGCAACAAAGCTCATAATGAAGCAAGTAAACTAATGAAAAAGGATGAGTGAGGCTGTGGAGGGACAGATTAAAACAATGAATATATCAAGCGGTCCTCAGACCTCCTTCATGCCTGACAAAACATCAACCAGAGTAGCTCAGACTGAATCAATTTATTTTAAAAACTTCATATGCATATTTGACAGATTCAGAACAGATTAAAATAACACACAAAAATAATCTATATGCGGGGCATGCAATGAGCAGCCAAACTACTGAAACACACTTCTATTATTCTCAGCATTAGCAAGAACAGGCTGATAATATGAATAATACACTTAGCAGCCCTCAACTCTTTCCTATGGTAACGCAGGATGAGACTCTTCCTCTTCAGTCTTTACTGGAAGAATAAAACATTGAGATTTGAAGTAGATAGATTTTATTCTAGCGCTCTCTTTCCGGCCACTGTAGGAGAAGCTTCTTTTATTATTCAAATCAGGAAATTTTAAATGGCACATGTGCATATGATGGGAGGAAAAAGGTCTTTTCACACCGCAAGATGAGGGAGGATTACATGTGTTCAGGACTAGCTGAGTGGTTGAACAGAACCTGTCCTTTCCACCTACCAACACGGGAGCAGAGCGTGGGCTATACTTGGAGCACATGTCTGCAAAGACCCACAGAGCATTTCTAAAAAGGGAAAAAACATTCAAGTAACACCAGAACTACAGCAGTGAGCTTTACTGACCCTCATGGCCTGCTTACAACAGCACATGCAGAGATGCTTTACGCTGCCAAAACAAGAGACACCAATAACCACTCTTGAAATGCAGTCTCTCTTGAGAAGCACCAGTGCACGTGTCTCACCCTCTAAGAAGGGTTTGCCTAACCTACCAGTCCAAGTTGGTGACTTCTGAGTATATTTAAATACATGTTCATCATTTTCTCTACATGTCCCAAAGAGCATCTTCTCCTCCCCACACTGACATCTGTACCTGTTTGATAGCTGTGACAGTGATGACAAAGAAGAGCGGGAGGCCACTGGTCACTGGGCTGGTTGGGGTGTCCACTATAACCTGCAGAGAAAAAAAACATGTACTGCTGACAGGTAGCAGAAGAAACCAAAACCCTGGTAACGGGGGAAAAAGGGGCTCATCCCACTGGAGGCAAGTCAGAGCCCAGCAGAGAAGGAAGGGAAGGAAGGGCCTTGTCCCTGGAAGTGTTCAAGCCAGGTTGGATGGGGTCCTGAGCAAACTGATCTACTGAGTGACATTCCATGGCAGGTAGGTTGGAATTATATGATCTTTAAGATCCCTTCCAACCCAAACCATTCCATGAGTCATTCTACAATTCCAAGGGGCACATGAGAAGGACCAGCACAGGCATCCCCAGGAGTGCCCTTCTCCATCACAAGGAGACTCCAATACTTGCTCCTGAAGATCATGGGATGGCCTCCAGTGGGAAAAATCCTACCGGAAGCAGCTTAAAGCCTAAACTTGACCTTGCTCTAGCAGGAAACAAAAGCTTGAGTGAATAGGCTGCTGGAGATGGGCTAAATGCAACTATTCAAAGGGTGAATGCCAGCAATCCCACTCCCATCACAGGGTGTGCTGGAGAGGACCATGGCAGAGGACGAGGATGGGGTAGAGGCAGAAGCAATGAAAGAAGTGACAACCACCCTCATTCCTCACTGAGCCACAGGAAGGTCCTTTCTCCAGTTTGGCAGTGGAGACAGGGCACATCTGAACCTTAAATCACTTCTGGCTATGAAAGGGAGGACAGTACAAGTCATCTTGAACCACTGACAATTGAAGGTTAAAAATAACACACATCAGCCCAAATTGCCTATTAGATATACAGCGGAATAGAACAGAAATCCATGCTATGTCTTTCAGCTCTCAAATTGGGATTTCAGAGCACAATTTAAGCACCATGACTACACAGGGGCCTTAGGGCACATAGGTGAATCCTTCCTGAGCTCGCTCAGGTGCTCGAGCCAGCCCTGTGGCAAAGAACAAGCCCCATCACCATTAAATAAACCTTCAGGCTGTGGGAAACCACTGTTTCTTCTGACTGCATCCAGACTTGGCCTAAAGGGTAAGAACAGCAGAACAGGAGGACAAGCTGCACCCTTGCCCCACCTTCCAAACCAGGGTACAATAAATTGGCCCTTTTTCCTGCTGCCCTCAGAGAGAACGGGAGCACAAGAGGCAGATGATGAGCTCTGTGGTGAAAGGGATGGGGAAATTCAGCAGAAAGGCTTTGTGTCCCCACAAAGGGACTTTGTCTCTTGTTTGTGCTTCCCTGACACACTCAAAAACAGCAGCATCTGTATATTTATTGTTTCAGACTGCCCATAAAATGCCATGTTAAAGACAGGACTCCTCTTACTGGCTACGTGGACATTTTTGACTATGAAGTGCTGTACACTGCAATATTACCCTGCACTACTGAACCCAAAGAGAAAAGTCAGAGGATACTGAAGTGGAAGAGATACAACATAAGAAGCAGCCATATAAGTGGCGTATGAGTTAAGTAGCAGGAGGGTAAACTAAGATAAACACCACAAATATTTCCAGGAACACAAAGCCCTGGCTCACTCAAATGGGTGTAAAATGTCTCCAAGCAGAAAGTCTGGTAGAAACCAGACTTTGGAGGAAAAACCTCGAGTGAGGATAGTGCCAAGTGTCACACAGACACACTGCACACAGCACACGTGATGGCCTCTCACTGGGGTGACATCACTGAAGTTTAGGCCAGTCAGACAAAAGTTATCTTGCAAAAATTGGACAGGTCTTGGAAATCCAAGAGGAGCTTTGACTGAGAAGGGCAAAGCAGAGGACCTCCTGTTGCCCAGCAGAAGAGTTTTCTGCACTGGACAAGATACAGTTGCATGTATTTATGTAAACAAACAATACGATTTCTGTCAACACAAATATCAGATGAATTCCCTGAAATAAGCATTTTATGTATTTGGAGATTGCACACCCTACACATCCCACGGCTGGATACTGCTCTTCCGCTCAGTGGCTGGTGGAAGGCTGAGGAACACATCAACAGTGAGCCAGAACATCAAAGGCAGACTGCTCTGAAGCTATTTTTGAACTGGTTTAGGACTTCAACAGCTTAATTTGGATCCACTTAAAAGTGACAAAATCCTCCTGTTACTTAATAGATTCTTCCTGGGTGATTCCTTAGGAGATTGAGAATCACACTGTAGAAGTCATCTCCATCAATCAAAAGGGACACTTTTCATTCCTGGTACCTCCTAAATTATTTACTGCCACCAGCTTGGTCTGTCTACAAACACACTTGGACTTCAGTCACTCCAGACCAATCCCTTCCACTGGGTGTTTCCTTGCGGATTCCTGTGAGTGTTGCAATAGATGAAACAAAGAAACAACTATTTGTATCTGTAACCCTGCTTGTCTCTAACAGCAGTTCCACCCCAATGTACCTATTTTGTATTAGAGAGACAAAAGAGCTGGAGTCACAATGTAATGTTTTAATAAAGGGTTTCACAACAGGTAGAGTAGATGCACCAGGAAATACCCCAAGTGCTGTGATGCTTCACTCCTCATGCAGCAAATCATGTAAGACAATTCAATTCATTTGAAGAAACTTAAAGATAAGCACAAACATTTAAGCAATGGTATTTTTCAAGGTACAACCCTTGGTATTTTAAATGAATGGAGTGGCCCTGGCTGCTTTTTAAAGCAAGTGACATCTCCAGAAGCACCTGGGGGCAGGTGGTTACTCTATACAGCAGCCAGTGGATCAGTGCTGTCAGGTTGGGTTTTGTTTGGTTGGGTTTGTTATTTTTTTAATAGACCATGAGGGCTGCTTCCTTATTTTAGAGGTGCTCACAGAAGACAGTGAAGGAGGAACAATCAGGCTCTTCTCTCACCTGCACACACCTGTGTCTAAAATGGGCAAGCAGCTAGACTGCGACCCGCTCTGTAAGTATAACCAGGAATATTCCACATTCTTCCTGGCCAGAGGGTCAATAGATAAAATGTAATACCGCGTCACTAAGTGGCCAGCTACACAAAAAGGACATCCCGACTCCAGGGCATCGCTTCAGTTCAAGGCAAATTACAAATTGGGTCTGACAAAATGGAGCAACGCCAGCGAAATGAAGAGATGGAGGCAAGCCAGCTGACGCCGGAGTAAATTGGCCTTTCATGTCACACTGCCAGGAAGAGCCACACACAGCTGTTATCTTGGGATCCCCCGTTTCTGCAGCAACCACCGAAATGACTATAAATCATAACTCTTTACGGTAAGGATAAAGATTTTAGGCACTCATCTTTCAAATAAGCAGCCTAGGAGAGAGTGATACCCCAGTCCTGAATCACCAAAACCCTGGAGAAGCCACCTAACAGAAGGATCTCTGCAGTAGCCACACAATGCCACTTCATTTGCTGGGGTACAGCTCTGATGCCTATTTTCAGCCCTAGAGCTGGCTGTCCGCTGAGACCCAGGCCTGAGGATTTAAAAGGTGAGTAAATGCACTGTGGTGATTCTCTCAAACTCCCTTTGCCCCAGTGCATTTTGACAGCTTGCTTTTCTTGGATGACAGAACAGATAAAATGAGTATTCAGGCTTCCCCAGGATTTGCCCCTTAACTCAAGCTACAAAGCAGAGCAGGAAAAGTTCATTCATGTAAAAAAAACTTGCTGTTTTGTCCATGCATAGCAGCTTCCTGAAACTTCATGTTACTGAATCTCATCCTACGCATTTTCTAAATTATACTAAGTACAACCTATCTCTCCTGCTTGCCCTGAAACTCATGATAACTGAGACATACAAATATCATGTGACTTCAGAAAATAGAGTTATGCAGCAGAAGTAGTAACTGTGACAAAAAAAATAGATTCTGTAGCATCAAGTGTATTTTCACTGGTTGATTGATCTTAACAGCTAGAGTTAAGACGGTTCATCAGTGTTCCAGCAGTCATTCAAACCTCATCTCAGACAGGCCTAGATATTTTAATTATTATTATATACTGGATGGTGTGGTAGAATTATAACACAGCTTCCAACTAAAAGAAACAAAACCACTTATAAGCACAAACAGAGTCAGTTTTGAAGCTCAATTCTTGTTCAAGCTGTGCTTACCATCTGTACCAAAATAAAACCCACTCTCAGCAGCAAAGCTCTTACCTGCACGAGGAAGATGATCAGGAAATAGAAGTTGGCAATTCTTCTAAACTGTTCAAAAAGGTTCTTCGGGAGGAAGTTCCAGAGGGTGTACTGTGGGGAGAGAGGGGGACTCACAAACAAACCAAGGGATGTGACTGAGCGGGACTAGAGCTACAAAATGTAAAGTATTTGCACAAAAGAAGAAAGGAGTTCTCCCTTTAACGTGCCAAGGAGAACCACAGCAAGGCAGCTGAGCAGCTCCAGGCAGAGGTCCAGGTCCCAGATCTAAAACCAGGAGCACGATGGACCTGGATGCTGACATGCCACTAAGTTCCTGCTTCAGATTCCAGCTCCAGTTCTCTCTGCTGGAGCAGAGTAGGAATAATTGGAAGTGCCTCACAGTTGTGTGGGCATTTGTGTTTCTTTGCTTTAAAGTGGACAACTATTTCCCTTTTGTCAAAATAACCCAAACCACACATTTGGAAAATGGTGAAAGTAAAATAAAATAAAAGCAACAGGATCTACTTCAGCAGACAACTTCTAGAAAGGCATTTGTAGACATATGATTTCATTAAGAAATAATGCACAGTGGAGATTTTTTTCCAAATTACCCAAACCACCTTAGAGATGCTTTTCTGTTAAAAAAAACCAAACAAAAAGCCCACGAAACAAACAAAACCAAACAAAAAGCCCACGAAACAAACAAAACCAAACAAAAAGCCCACGAAACAAACAAAACCAAACAAAAAGCCCACGAAACAAACAAAACCAAACAAAAAGCCCACGAAAAACAAAAACAAACAAAAAGCCCACGAAACAAACAAAAACAAACAAAAAGCCCACGAAACAAACAAAAACAAACAAAAAGCCCACGAAACAAACATGTAATATCTATCTTTCAATCTGCCTGGAATAAAAAAGAATAAGCAGCCAAGTCTCAAGACCAATATCTAGTTAATTATAAAAGAGACTTGTCAGGTAAGACCACCCATGCCTAGCAAATATAAATGGAAAAAAAGAGCAAGGACACAACATTCAAAAATAAATCAAGGAAGAACTAAAATTAGTGCTCAAACAAACCATTTGTCAGAGAGGGAACTGGAGCAGGGGAAGGTGTCCTCGCTGAAGGACCCCCTCTTGCATGCCAGGGAAATGTCAATGGGAATGCTACACAAGCTAAACATGGCTAGACTTAAAACTTTTTCCCAAAATAAACTCAGACAGCATAGACATATAAAAACAGATAAGAGCCAAGATGTATAAAAAGAGAAAGGAGAGGGAAAACACGCTTTACAGCTCAAGTACAGCAAAACTGAAGCCTGAGTGTATGCTGAGCATCATGAATCCTAAGGAATGTGATACGTATCCAGCTGTGTTGACAATATGGAATGCCACTTGTTTGATATTTTACTCGAATTGGCCTCAAATCTTTTGAAATAGCTTCATGAATGTCATGGAAAAAAGCTAAGCAGAAGGCAGATGGGTGTCATCACAGTTTTCCACCATAAACAAAAGCGGCATTAATACCATATGAATGTTTCCCCCTTTCCATCCAAAGGGATAAACAGAGCATGGTTATTTTTGTCCTATCTCAAGACAGAAAAATCCCATGGAATTAAAAAAAATAAAATAAAATGGGAAATTGTATTTTTCAGTCCATTTATAAAATAAAACAATTCTCACTCCCTTTTGCAAATCTGATTGCTGTTACCTCATACTGTATTACATCTAAATTGTCCTTTCTTCCCAAAGCCAATGCCAGAAAACTTAAAAAAAAAAAAAAAGACACCACCAAAAACACCTACCCCAACCTCCCAAAACCATTGTGTCCGTATGCTTTGCTCTCAATCCAGCCTAGAAGAAAGGAACTTGTACAGACCCCCACTGGCATTGATAGAAAAAAAAAAAAGCCAAAGAGAGTGACTGGAGCTGCATGTAGGGTCCGTACCACACTGCTCCACTTGCAAAGGGACCTTTACATCCAACCCTGAGGAACTCAGCGTTTCTCTATTTCAAAAACCACCACCAAATAAAAGCAGGGTGAATACAGGAGCAGGGAATGCATGTCCACTATGCACCTGGACAAGCAGAGTGAGCTCACCTTGGAGGAGACAATCCTGTTGTCGCAGAACTTCTGTGCCACACACGCCTCTGTTTCTGAAACAGGACGGTGCCCGACCACCACGGTGCGTGTACCGACCCGCTTCTCCTCCCCAGCACACTGTCAGGGCAACCAGGAAAGGGAGAAATTAGCTTTTAACTCAAAAAAATTAATTATCTGTGTTAATAGCTTCCAGCTTCTCAATGCACTCTGCTGTTCATTGGAAATAAGGCAGCTAGAAACCCAAAAATTCACTTCTATGTCTCACTCAAAGCACAAAGAAGAACACATAAGGTCATTTAGCAAAACCAAGACCATGCTGAGCCTGCAGCCCAGCTCTGCTCAGCCATCAGCTCCCTGAACCCCAGCCTGTCACCAGGATAGGTCTCTATGCCAGACATCTGCTGCCTATACTTGCAGGCTATACCAGGCAATTTCTCCTTCTTGAAGGAGAATATGTATCTTTATCAAGAATTTGAAGTGATAAGGAATATATTTTATCATCTGCATATCTCTTCCTAGTTCTGACCTGAAAGTCCTTCAGCTTTGGGTTTATTCACCACACGAAGAATGATGGAAATTGCAGCCTCCTTTACACACACACTCTCCTGTCCAATCCTCAAGTCCATGCAAAATGTCTCACCACCACACTGGGTACACACAGACTTTGGATTTAGCTTAGAAAAAGTCTACTTCTACTTAAAAGACAGATGTTCATGGAGTGCCCTGGATCTGGCTCCGCATCTCGGTTGTCCAAAGGGCTCATCACAGGCAGCTTGTCAAGCTGCAAACAAAACCCAGCTAGAGAAAAGGTGCTCTGAAAGCAAACATGTTAAGACAGCAAAGCCTTGGACTAACTGCTGCTTGGGGAAAGTGTAAAAACCAAAAATTTAAACAACTAAAATAGGTGTACCTGGAGCAGCAACAACTGAATTGATCCTGCTGCACCAGGAGCAGGATCTGCCCAAAGGAAGCAGCTTCCTTCCCCCTGCTCCCCACCCGTGTCTACACCATCTTTAATTAAACCTGGTTTGCTGTGCTGACTGCTCTTGCTACTGCCATCCTCAAACCTCCAGCAGCTGATGCTTAGAGCAGAAGATGGAAATTTCTCACAACCCTGCACCATATCCCTGCACCTCCCAACACAGATCCAGCAGCAGCCACCAGCACCTCCAGCAGCTCCCAAACACAGATAAGGCAGGCACACATTCCCAGTTAGGGAATGCCACCACTTTCCCAGCCTCATCATCACTGCCTGCAGCAGTGAACAGCACATCTTCCAAAAAATGCTCCCTGATGTATCTGCTGCGTTCTGGAGGTGGGTCTCACCAACCTGCACCCCAGGAGCGAGAGGCAGAGCCATTCATCTGCGCCACTGCAGCACCAGGGAGTTGAGACAGAGTGTCCCCAAGTGTGAAGTCCCCGTCGTGTCCCTGTGAAGGATCTGGAGCCAGGCGTGCCTGGCGAGCATCCCTCCAGCACAGGGAGGAAGTGACAGCTTCCCCTGCCTGCACCATTGGCAGAGCAGGGGGGAAGGAGCAGGGGTGAGGATTTGCCAAACACACGTATTGGCATGGAAACAATAAAGTTCTGGTTAAAGCACTACTGGAAAAATATACACGAGCATTTACTGACTATCCACAGTTAGCCATAGAAAGCATGGAGCACATGAAGCCCCAGAGCAGAGGAGAACCCAAACCCCAGATCTGGTGTGTTGGCTGACCAAGGCTCACTGGGTTAGCACTGCTAACTCCTAGGTGGGTTTTCACCCTCATCTCCCTTCAGTTATTTATTGGAAGTATCTTTTCCAAAGAATGACTGTAACCCCATGTCAACAGTAACACTGTAACTCCACAACGCATCCGAGCCCTCTGAGGTGGCAGGAGAGGGAGCAGTCATCATTCCCCGGTCTGCCCAGGCTCCCACCACTCACAGCATTTCGTTTCCCACTCCCTCAACCACCCCACAGTGTCACACCACCCTACACCCTGGAAGGCTTCACACCACATCTTTCTCTTCTCCACTTTCCAGAAAGTGAAAACATACCACGATGACGCCTGAGGCGAGAGGTGTTGGCTCAGCACAGCAATTAGAAGCTCTCATTTTGATGAACCCACCTTGGACCTCTCGCTGGGTCGCTAATAGATTGCTACATCTTAATAATGGCTCTCAACGGAGGCTTACAGGGAGATTTAGGGAATAACTGCCAGGCTTTGAGGAAAATTATAAAATATGCAGATTAGCAGAGAGAGGATTTAGATTACCTTTTCCAACCGCCTTTCATCAAAAATTTTAATTCTGATGAAAAAAAAAGAAAATATTACTTGGATAGAATTCAAACAGCTGTCTCGTTGCCTGGTGGGGTTCTATAAAGCCCAGGGTCCACAGCTCTGCAGTGAGCCAGTGCAGGCAAATGCCAGAGTTTCTCCTGCTGTTCAGAGCCAAGTCTGCCAAAAGGATTATTCAAGAAAACAAACAATTGCATTCCCCTCATATGCACTTTATCACCTCCCTCGGCCTGAGGCGTGGTGTTTGCATGAGTGCTGGGAGAACCAGAGCTATCTGTAGGGATTAGTAGTGTCAGACTGCTCACAACCTCAGGACAGTGCCAGGGGAAGCCACACTGCATCATCCCACCAAGGCTTGACAATGTGGGGATGTTGGTAGATGACCTCAGATCTGTCTGCTGTACCATGTCCCTGCGATCCAGAAGAGCTCCCAGCAGCTGGCAGACACACAGCAGCAGCCCAGGGGACACTGCAGACACCAGGAACTGAGAGGAAGGAGGGAAGGAGGTATTTTTGAGCAGTCACTATCCTGTCTGCATCATCTGCAGACCAGCCTCAAAGACGTGCGTCTCTCCCGCAATATTTCAAGCTTCAGTTCAGGGCTCCTGGTCCACTCCCCCAGTGCCTAACCAAGCCCATCAACGAGTCAATCTTTCAGCAGGGCATTCAAACCAGATTTCTCCTGAAGGAGCTCAGCTGGAAGACAACAGCCAAACACAAATCATAAGAGATAAAGATGAGGCTAGCAAGGCTGTTCTGCCAGGAACATCCTTCAAGTTGGCAGCTCACTTTCCATCTTCCTTCTCCTCCTTGGGCAGGACTAGGAGTCCAGCTGCAGTAATAAATAACCACATCATCACCACTGATGCAGGCACACTCTGCTGCATGGGCAAAGGGCTGCTGCTGCTGCAGCACAGTCCTCCTCAGATCATGGAGAAATTCAGATACAGAACGTATTTCTGTTAAGTAATTTGATGCAACCCGACTTTCCCCTACTCTCACCTTTTATAAAGCCCATGTACTGCCAGGAGCAGCAGCTCTGAGAACAAGGCATTAAGGATAATGACTATTTTATTACGCTGTCCAAATTTAAAAAGTCCATCTACATGCACCCATACACCCATGGAAGGTCAGTAGAAGTTTGGCATTTCACTACAAACTTTTTTTTGGGGAAATAAGAACATATATGATTTGAAGGTATCAGACTAAAAATCTGATCAGGTCTAAAAATACCCATGGATGCAACTTGCAACTAATAAATAACCCAAAATCATCTATGACTTGAAGCTTTTGGAGCATTACATAGAGACAACGGAATTACATCTGCAGCCCACAGCACTCCCCAAATTCTTCACCTCAGTTTGGCAACCCTTTGTGCCTCTTTCCCCTCTCCATTTATGCCCTTCTCCCACAGAGACATCCTGCTCCAGCACAACAGCTGTCCCCTGCCTCAGAGAGAGGCTCCTCTTCACCCACTGTCCCCAGTTTCTACGAATCCATTACAACATCATGTACAGGACCTGGATGGCCCTTGATAAAAGTTGCAAACCTGGGTAAAAATTAGCAAGCCTGGATAAAAATTAATGGAGTTAGTCTGAGTTCAACAGGAGAGGTGAACCTCTCCTGCAGCCACTGCTGACAAGGAGCCACTCTGAGTGGACTATTTCTAGAGCAGCTGTAAAACACAGTGTATAATTATATGCCCCATATGGAAAGCAAGTTGTGTGCTACCTGCTGACCCTGTTTCCAGAAAAAAAAAAACAAAAGAACACACAGTGGCAGAAGGAAAAAACCCACCAGCATTTGATTTACTAGAGCTTCAGAAAGCACCTAAACCAGAACTAACTAATAAAAAAAACCACTGCTTTCATGTTTGCTGAAGATAGCTTCAAGCCACAAAGTAAACACAAATAACTCGTAGAAAACATATCTAATGAAAACCACAGGCATTTAAAAAAAAAGTCATCTGCTAAAACCAGAGATAATTATATGGTGTAAGTACAAAGTTCAAACATTTGAATGAAATCACAGCTTATATTAAATATAGGCAAAAGAAAGATTAAATCACATTACTTGGCTTCAATCTCATGAATAGTTTAAAGTCTAATTTCTCCTATATTGTTCCATTTATCAAAAATGTAGTAGAGAAGACGACCTGATTTACAAAAAAAAAAGCCTGCAAAAATAACACCATCTCCCAAAACAGTCTGTTCTAGCTCCTGTTTCATTTAGCCCCAAAAGAACAAAGAAGAACGCATGCACAATTTTAAAAAGCCTCCATAAATTTACCATAACCTCCCCAAAACATCCATCAGCCTTGGGCAGTCGCTCAGCACACCAACTCCACTGCCCAACTGATACATTTTTAATTGAAAATTTTTCTTGCCGATTTTTCTAAGACTCCCTGTTTTCAGTGATTTCTGCGCAGGTAAAGGCGATCCTTTGAGAATATCCTTAATAATTTAGCAGTTTGGACTATGCTTACCCATGCTGACCCCATATTTAGGCAGATCTCCTGATTTAGAGAGAGAATTCCATCGACTGGGATCAACCCCACTGCTCTCCCCGAACCTGCATGAAAGAGTCAATAACGTGCACAGACCTTGGAAAGGAAACAACCAACCAACATTGCCATTTGAAATGCCAAGAGCTCATAGGTCCAAGAGAAAGGGCTGAAGGTGTGGGCTGCTTGAAACTCATCTCTCACTGGACAGGACTTTAGATGCTCAACCCTAAGCAAAATAGGGAAGGCTGGTACCTTGGCAAAGCAGAAAGTTGAAGTTTAAACCTGTATCCCTTCTCCTATGTTGAAGTTTCTGCTGCTATTTCAACCAGAGACAAAACACAATCACCAAGGAGTGACTGCTGGGATAAGCCAGGTTCAGCCGTGGTGAGGGGGCAGCAGGGGTAACCATGAGAGCCCCCAGACCAACAGAACAAACAAGAGCAAAAGAGGAGTCATGAGAAAAGGACCAATACCTGGCGTTTTTTAAAATCACCATCAACATGTGATGAGGTTCAATACCCAGACCTTGCCCTCAGTCCCTGTTGGGGATGACAAAGTGGTAGATCATGTGCTCTAGCAGAACATCATTGACCCAGATCACACCATCCTTCATGCAAGTTCAAGTACATCCAAGCAAGGGGCCCCAACAAGAGCCTGTTCCCATGTCCCCTCTGCCCCAACATTGTTCTGCCTGACCATGTGGGCTTGTAGGAAGGTCACTTTCATCAAGGACAATGGGCTGGGGAACAGCAGAGCCAAACTAGGCTGCACTTCCTGGAAAAGCTGACTTAGCCAACAAAGCCACTGATAAAACTAGAGAGAGACATGGCAGGGTGGGGAGAACAGGGGAAAGAGCTACTTGAAAGGTTTAATAAGGGTGGAGAGAGGAAATACAAGAGTTTTTTTCCACAGATACTAAATTTACAGGAGAGCCCAGCCCCATCCTGGACTTGAGGAGCACCGTGCACAGGGGTGACAGCTGAAAAGACCTTTTTTGGCACGGGTTTGTTTTTTTTTTTCCCTTCTGGAAGAAGTCTACCCCCAAACCACACAGTACTGCATCTTCCCATCAAACATGCCACAATGTCTGTAATCACAGCCTCTGTTCAGCAGCACTTTGCACAAAGTCAGGTTCACATATGATGTAGAAAGTCAAACCCAGACAGTATTGATTGGGCCAGTATTACTTCAGTGCAGCTGTTGTGTGGAAAATCTGTTGCTCCTGTTCAAACATAGCCACCGACCTTTGGAAGTTTTCAGTATCTCCATTCTTTTTTCTCTACCCTGTTGGCAGTCAGGGTTATGAAACCATTGCTCATCTTGAAATACAGGCAGCAGATCTTTATTTTTGGCAGTCCAAAAGAAAAGTTAGACCAGCATGCTGCCAGCATATAAAATTCAGGCTCATAGGAACACTTCAGGCTCGAGAATAGAAAAAAGGACTTTGAATAAGAGCCAAATGTTTTGCAGAGGTCACAAAGCAAATACAACGAGGTCTTCCTGTCTTCAAAACTCTTCCTCCCTCCTTTCCCCAGCTCAAGCTGTGCACATATGTCTGTTCATCGGCAGCTATTTTAGCAAGGCAGCAAGCTCTCCAGAGCAGTGATTTGCCCTGGCAAAAATTAAAATAAGAGCAAAGTGGAAAAAACCCTCCAAGTTTGCAATTGTCAGTGCTTGCATCACCCTGCAGAGCTATAATTTGTTGGTTTTCCTGTTGTTTTCTGGTCCTCTGAAAGCCTGAGCTCTTCAGTTATGGAAACAAAAAAACACCTAAATGCTATGTTATGCATCCCCACTCAGCCAGACATTACTCTGACCTCTGCCACCTACAAACGTTTTGCCCCTTTTTAAGTTTTCCCAGCATTTCAAAGCCAGGCTGCCAGCTGACTGGCGAGGAGCCCATTTCCCAGAGCAGTTTCCTCCCTTTCCCCTGGGAAGCAAGCCTGCTTGGCTGTCCACACTCTGGGGACAGAGTTGCACACCCCCCTACCAGGGTGTACCTCACCACAGCATCCCAGAAGCATAGGCTGGTACACAGGCCTGCCCAGGAAAATCCCCTCAGATCAAGCTTTGCCCCAGGGAGGCTGTCCTATCTCCCACACAACAGCCACCAGCAGGGATGGGAGGGCAGGTCCAGGCTGCAGGGGCCCACCAAGTCCTGCACCAGCACCATGGGATGCTCTCAGTCCCTGCAATGGGTACCCAAGGTCCCAGCCCCCCATACCATGCTCCTCACTTACACTGATTCAGATTAAGTTTTTCAACTCCAAAAATGTAAAAGCCATGGTTTTCTAATCCTCCCTTTGCTGTACTACAGAGAAATGTTTCCACAGAAGCAGCAGGAGATAAAAGGGAAAAGAGAGGGATAAATCACCACCTTCACCCCTTGCTCCACAGCCAAAACCAGCTCCACATGCTCCAGACCCCACTGGAAATACTTTCATCTCCAGATACTATAGTGACCAATAGATTCATTCTTGGGGCTGCAGGCACAATTGTACCAGGATACGGGATCACTGCAATCCACCCAGTCAGGAGAGAAATCCTCAACATGTTGCCTAGAACTGTTTATCTTCAGGAAATCCTTTGGCTCATGTTCCTGCTGGGCTGGGTAAGGCAGCTGCAGAGCAGCTCCTGCGGAGCACAGGCTGCCCAAGCAATGCCAGCAGCACAGCAGCCTGGATTGGCAGCAGGAGGGAAATCTGCTTATCCACAGGGACGTGGAGCTGAGGTTTGAGTTAGCCCTAGCACGTTGGCCTTGGAGCTCAAGGGGTTTCAGTGTGGCCAATTGCAGCACCATCAGCTGCAGAAGAGAGCCCATCCTGTGCAGGAGAACAAGACAGCACGCCAGGAAATGCCTCAGCCACCTCCATCCCATCCTATCAGAGGCTATCCCTAGCCAAGCACTGGGACAAGCACGTTCCTACTCTCACAGTTATCAAGGCAAGCCCCTTCACCCAAGGTTTCCTCTCTCTGTGTCACTGCTTCCCACCCTGCGCTTACCGGAATGGGACTTGTCGAGTGGGAAGTCCCACTTCCATCCATTCAACTGCACTGAAAGAAACCTCCCCATGGAAATTATGTACTCCACAATATTAGTTTGGCTGACACAAGGACAACAGCCTCTGGGCATCTCAGCTAATTTTACTGTGCATCCTCCCTGAGCAAACAATATAAGAAAAGGTGAGCTGTAAGGAAGGAAGAAAAAACAAAAAGAACAAAAACCTCCCACAACTCAGAGTGAACAAAAGTGGCATGCAAAACACCACCCAAAGTAAACAAAAAAAATATATTAACTGTATTTTATGCTTGGCTTTGCAGCCCCCCCCAGTGCAGTCTGAGTCCCTACAGACAGCAGCTGCTTGGCTTAGTGCAAATGCTGGGGAGGAATTACAAAGAAATTATAATAAAAGATGGCAAGGCTGCTCACAAAGTGGATTTTTTCCCCTGCATTTAATTTCCCGGCAGTGAGTTTGGGTTTTTTTTATTTTTTTCCCCTCTTAAGCCAATTGAGACTCCAGTGACAGAGCACAGCGTCGCTGCAGTCAAGCAGTATTTAATTTGTATTACTGCTGAAGAGATCTTGGATTGCAGTGCCAAAGAAGCGCTTCAAATTGTCTAGTCTTGCCTGTTGCACATCTTACTCAGCTTTTCTAGGTCCTTTACAGTACAAGAAAAATAGGATCCCTCTGTTTTGCAAATCAGTGTGTTTGCCACAGTACTGCAAACAAATTACATCTACCAAGTGGCTGATGCCTCTGTTTCTCACTCTAATAGTCTTATAAAATCTTGTTAAGGTGTACAGCACACTTTAAGACATGCAAGATGTAAAGACCCTTTGGAAACAGACCGCAAGAAATTACCAAGCCCTCCACATACTGCCCTACAAAAGCAAAGCTGGGGTCCTTTCACATATAGATCCTGCAAAATTCAGCTGAAAACAGAGCAAAAAGCCGACAGCAAAGCATTACTCAGCCAAGGCCACAAAGGAGGTTAACAGGAATCGTGTTCAAGTCGTGAAAAAAAATTATGAGCCTTGCTCTCAAAATACCCAGCTAGGACAGCCTCACAGGGGCTTACCCTTCCTTCTGCTGCAGGAGGAAAACAAAAAGCTCTTTACAAACAGCCAGATCAAAAATAAGTGCATTAAGCTTTCATTAAGCAGAACAGGACAAATGTCTCTGAACTACAAGCACTATCAATTAGGGTTGGATGTTCAGAGCAAGTATGCTTTTAGACTAAATGGTCTCCAGTTGGAATTCCATCCCAAAAAATGTAAGTGAGGTTTTGGGAAAAAAAAATCACTGGAGTCAGCAAGATGCAACAGGTGCCCACAAGAATGGACAATCTGTGAATCATGTGTGCAAGGGATTGCATAAGGAGCTAAACATTTTACAGAGGGTTGGTTCTGATCAGGACCCGTGGCAGCAAGCACTCCTATGAGAACACAAAAAAGCATGGAGGGGAGGAGAAGCAAAACCTAGGACTGCTTCCTTCCCATCAGTGAGCCTCCAGTTGCTATCCCCACCCCACTGCCCCGTGTGCAGCTCAATATCCAAATGCACTTTGTAGTCACCAAAGTGGTGCCTTGTGCCAACCACTGGCCTGCAGCTCCCTGGGTTTTGGCCAAGCCCAAGAAAGAGCCCATAAGTAAAAATAAATGTATATACTTAATGCATCTATATATATTGCACACATGCATATTTGATGTGCATATATTGCATGCATGTATATTTAATGCATATATATATATATATATACACTGAAGTCACTGCAGCCTCTGGGTAAAACAGGCTTTTCCTGACCCAGCAGCCGTGCTGCTGCCAGGCAAGAATCAGGTAAGGGCAGAGGCCGGAGGAGACCTTTTAAAACAGTTTTACTGTTTCCCCAGGCTACAAGTCAGCAAACCAAGCTTTAAACCAGCCTGCCACTTACTGCCATCCCCTGCAGTGCAGAGGCAGCACCAGCATCACCCTCCTACCACGGAAGGGTGATGGCAATCCATGTAAAAGCTCCACGCACAAGTCTTGGAGTCAAGTTTGCAAGAAAGCCAAAATACTAACTGCCCAAATCAAATGTTAACCAACTAA